AACGGCACCGTTTCAGACCACGGCGCGTCTAATGGTCAAGATTTCATCGAAATCGGTCCAGTAGTTTCGGAGCATGGGCTCGTCTGCAACAGATTTTAGGGGTTTTGGACCGATTTGGACCACTTAGGGTCGACCAATCAAAAAATTATCAAAAACGGCACCGTTTCAGACCACGGCGCGTCTAATGGTGAAAGTTTCATCGGAATCGGTCCAGTAGTTTCGGAGCATGGGCTCGTCTGCAACAGATTTCAGGGGTTTTGGACCGATTTGAACCACTTAGGGTGGACCAATCAAAAAATTATCAAAAACGGCACCGTTCCAGACCACGGCGCGTCTAATGGTGAAGGTTTCATCGAAATCGGTCCAGTAGTTTCGGAGCATGGGCTCGTCTGCAACAGATTTTAGGGGTTTTGGACCGATTTGGAACACTTAGGGTGAACCAATCAAAAAATTATCAAAAACGGCACCGTTTCAGACCACGGCGCGTCTAATGGTAAAGCTTTCATCGAAATCGGTCCAGTAGTTTCGGAGCATGGGCTCGTCTGCAACAGATTTTAGGGGTTTTGGACCGATTTGGACCACTTAGGGTGAACCAATCAAAAAATTATCAAAAACGGCACCGTTCTAGACCACGGCGCGTCTAATGGTGAAGGTTTCATCGAAATCGGTCCAGTAGTTTCGGAGCATGGGCTCGTCTGCAACAGATTTTGGGGGTTTTGGACCGATTTGAACCACTTAGGGTGGACCAATCAAAAAATTATCAAAAACGGCACCGTTCCAGACCACGGCGCGTCTAATGGTGAAGGTTTCATCGAAATCGGTCCAGTAGTTTCGGAGCATGGGCTCGTCTGCAACAGATTTTAGGGGTTTTGGACCGATTTGGACCACTTAGGGTGAACCAATCAAAAAATTATCAAATACGGCACCGTTTCAGACCACGGCGCGTCTAATGGTAAAGCTTTCATCGAAATCGGTCCAGTAGTTTCGGAGCATGGGCTCGTCTGCAACAGATTTTAGGGGTTTTGGACCGATTTGGACCACTTAGGGTGAACCAATCAAAAAATTATCAAAAACGGCACCGTTCTAGACCACGGCGCGTCTAATCGTGAAGATTTCATCGAAATCGGTCCAGTAGTTTCGGAGCATGGGCTCGTCTGCAACAGATTTTAGGGGTTTTGGACCGATTTGGACCACTTAGGGTGAACCAATCAAAAAATTATCAAAAACGGCACCGTTTCAGACCACGGCGCGTCTAATGGTGAAGGTTTCATCGAAATCGGTCCAATAGTTTCGGAGCATGGGCTCGTCTGCTTTTAAGGGGGTGTATGGTTCTGGACCATTTTGGTCCGATTGGTCCAGTCAGAGTGAACCAATCGCCAAAAAACGAAAAACGGCACCTATATAAGTTCCCTGCTATTGAATGGTGAAAGAATTATCAAAATCGGTCCAGTAGTTACTGAGCATGGGCTCGTCTGCTAATCTCGTCTGCTTTTTAGACACTCCCGTTCGCTCCCGTGCCTTCAGCATTACGAAAAATGGCAACAGCCCGTGAGCAGCATCAGCGCTCACGCACATGTTCAAGGAAAACAACGTGTAATTAGCTGCTGACGACGGCCCTCTCCACCAATCAGCGCTCGGTAGCTCGAGCGCTGATTGGCTGGTAGCAAACGCGTCATATGTGGGTCTCATTTTTTGCTATCAGTGAACGCGTTATTTAATACACAGTGGCCTGTGGAGAATGGCACGCGGAATTGAAGGTCAGTGTTTTATTGCTTCGTACATGCGAATGGGGGTATTTGAGTGGCATTTGACACCATTTTCGAAATCTACAGTGAATTTCTGATCGACTCATGTATATATTTTTATGAATTTGACAGTATTAGTGCTACATAGTCGGTGTTTTATGTTGGTGTTGTTTCTCTCGACCTTTGTCTTGGACTTTAATCATATCTTTTCTCGAAAGTGCTTGCCATAACCAGGTCTAAACTGTATTTGTATAAAGGGAATATGTGTTGAATATGAGGGGAAAGTAGTAATGACCATTCTGCCTATCAAACTGCCAGAAGGTGTGCTTGTAAGGTGATTGAAACTGCAGTACGGGTTGCAGATGTGGGTTTGACATAAGCATTGTTGTTTTAACCCCACTTGCTCTAATAAAATGGCAACATGTGGTTATGTGCACACTATTGCACAGCCTGGTATCAAGCTGGTTGATATGTGGAGGATAATGAAAGCATAAAAGAATAGGAGCGTTGCGTCTTGTGACTTATGTCGAGTCATCAAATTATTGTGATTGTAACTTTTACTTCAATTATTATTGCAAGTTTTGACCTTTTTAATCATCAAATTTTATGTGTACCAATTTCATATGCCTGTGTAATGTCTGTGCGGCTTTGTGCAGTGTGCGTGTCTTGAAACAAACCAATTTATTTTGTACCTTTTTGTACTTCAACAAATGTATGTCAAAGGACAAAAATGTCATGTCTATTATCATTGACACTACTACAGCTAACCCTGCCTGTATTCCTATCTTTCAGAATTCAGAGGCATTCAATTCAATCTGCTTTCCAGTGCAGTACCAAGGAGGCTGCAACTGAAACTCGCACAAAGGCAATCAAGTGTCACTTCATCAGCCTACAGTAACAGCCCATCTGTAATCAAGTTATGGATGAAGGGGCATAGAAGAACAACCAGTTCAAACATGAAAAGATTGTATTTTGTTTTGGATTATTTCTTAGCATAACAGAACAGTACACTTGCTGCTTTTTATGTTTGCCCTGTGTGCAGTTTTGAATAATTTTAACCATGAGATGCTTTTGTCAACTATTCTCTTTACATAAGCTTCCTGTCATGCATGTGTAATTTTGTGTTAACATGCATGATGTAGGCACATTTCCCTTGGCTTCATAGAAGTTAAAACTACTTGCAAGCTTTGGTTATGGACATTGGTGCTATATATGATGCTTCAAATGTGTCCAGTAGTTGATGAAGGGAGAAGAGGAGTAGGACGGCTGATAGCTATTACCAAAAGTATGTGTTTGTCTGCACTTCGGGCTGTTTTACTTCCTTGAGAAAACCCTCATCTTTTGTTTCTTTCCTGTGTGCCCATTGTTTCCATGGTGCTATACATAAACGTCAAGTTTGAAGTTGGTATCCAAGTGAGCAAAATGTGTATTATTTCAGTCCGTCTTGAATCATTCGTCTTGAATTATATCCCTAACTGACATCCTGTTATTTGTCCTCCAGGGCTGCGGAGTCGATGGATTTTCGGCGACTCCGACTCCGACTCCGACTCCGGCTTTCAAAAACCAGCTCCGACTCCGACTCCGACTCCGGGCAGAATTGTCGACTCCGACCGACTCCAACTCCCGGCTCCGACTCCGCAGACCTAGCAGGGCTGCGGAGTCGACAGATTTTCGGTGACTCCGACTCCGACTCCGGCTCGGGTTTCTAAAATCGACTCCGACTCCGGTCACAACTGTCGACTCCGACCGACTCCGACTGCGACTCCGACTCCGCAGCCCTGTGTCCTGCAATGTCTGTGCCTGTGTCCGCCGCCCTTACCTCCGGCTCCAGCCTCCAACCAGCCCTGCTGAGCTCTGTCGCCGGCGCGGTGTGTCGCAACGTGCTGTTTCTCCACTCCAGCCGACAGCTGCTAGGAATCGTCCTGTGCCATGCGCCATGCGACACAGCAATTGTAAGCTGCAGGTCACATTCGGACTGATTGGCTCCGCGTATGTGCATCCGGCCGGGAGCTAGTCGATATCAGGGACGTGGGTCGGACTGTTGTGGCGGCGTGCACTGTGCTGGTTGAAGTTGTATTTCTGTTAGTGAAAAGCATTAATACATAACCGTGGCCGCAGCCCAATGTTATTGTGGATTTCAGAGGGAGTGGCCAGTCAGGAGGGCCCCATGTGGGTATGGATCCAGTGTCCAGTGGGATTGGCTAAGATTTCCGGCGATTGATAAACGCTTCTATGATAGTAAACCTATTGAGCTATGAGGGGAGGTCACGTGACGGACCTGACCTTACTAAACTCTTGTGAAAACACGACACATACGAACGGTAAGAAACCGACAACTCTTCTTTCTGTCAAGTGTCATCTTTCTGTGAAGGATTTCTTGGCACTGAGTGTTCAGAAATTGCGTTGTTTTTGGACTGTGCAGAGGCTCACGAGCGACAACATAGGTCAACAACCTGACCTACCTTAAATATGCGACTTGTACCATAAGATCCAGCTTGATCAAAAGATAGGACATGTCAAATTTCATCTCTTTATCTCAAAAGAATTTTGAGCTATCGTAAAAACCGCCAGTGTGGCACCATATCGCCTCCGCGCGCGGTCGGAAGGTAAAAGTTCGCCGGCTCTAACTAAACAAATAGTCGTCGTATCGCAAATTCATTGACGGCGTTCGAAGCGTCGTTCAATTTACTTTCGAAACATATCCTAACATTACCATTTAACTGCCTAGCGCAATCACCAACAAGCAAAAGTTCCGCGCATCCCTCCTCATACAGTGTTAGCGGCGGCCGGCCGCCGGCCGCTGACCCACATTCGCGTCATCAGGGAATGCCGCAACTAATTTATTGTTTCCAACTTTTTTCCCGGAGCGTTCTACCTGGTTTATATAGCCTTGGTACCATCCCCGTCTCGCCCGTCTCCACCACTTGCGAAGTCCGTGGCGTCGTTCCCCGCGTCGGGGATCAGGTTTCGTGACGAATCTGGCGCGCGATTCTGCTCCGATTTGTCGTCTCGAAGAGATGCAGAAGGTCGACGCGGTAACACCGGTGAATGTTCGAGAGGCATTTCAAATTCTCATTTAAATTCACCAGAGACCATTTACTGTGTAGACCGATGAAGAAAATTTGCTTCGGAAAATTTGAAAAGCGACCGTTGGAGTTCTCGTCAACAGCTGAGTCACAGCAACAGCTGACGAAGGAACAGGGCAGGAGCTCGATGCGACACGTCCGATCCCCACGAACTCCCGACACCGAATTCGTATTAAAGTATAACTTAAAGTATTGGAACTTAAAGTTAAAGTATTGGAATAAAACTTAAAGTATTGGAATCTATTTTTGTGTTTTTAAGCGCATTTGAATGTTTAATTTATGTTTATTCCATTGTCCCTATTTTGTTTTCATTTGGTTATAATACTTACTTATACTTATACTTACTTATAAAGTTTGGAATTTTGAAAGGCCACTTGGCCTCAAGGATCCGGTCCTATCGAGCTCCTTACTGACTCAGTGTCCTGACTCAGTCGTTAAGCCCATAATATTGTTAAAAAGATACTATATAAGTACCCAAACAAATTCAGAGTTTCTAAATAATTCAGAAATTTAATGAGCAAATATAATTTTGCAATTATGATTAAATAGTGTGTTTCAATACGACAATAAGCAAGACAGTTGACTGTTGAGGTTTGACAGGCACAATACCTAGTCAATATGCACCGATCAAAGTCACACTTTTGGATAATGATTGCTGATGTTTGCCTGTTTTGCATGTTTTAAACAAGCTGACATGCCATTATTTGTATATTTATTATGGTGTGGTGCTGACCTGTGGTACCCTTGCTTGCATAAGCATTGTTTATCATTCACAACCAAAGTAAGCATGATGAAGATAAGGCTCAGTTCATATGATATAATAGTAGCACCTCTGAAATGTCCCTATTGCTTATACAAAAGTAGCATTTTCCTCATCATTCTTAACCATCTCCTCACACAAAAAGTGAAATGCTTTCAGTGTTTCCTACAAAGTTGCCCATTGTCCCAGCTGGGAGGAGGGAATAGTGAACACTGAACTTGCAGCCCACAAATGCTAACTAAACTTCATCTACTTCTGCAGAATGAGCCAGCACTGACAGACGACACCAGCACAGCTGATGACATGGACATGAACTACCAGCCGCTCTCCCACACCTCTAGCAATGGTCCGGACATCGACAGCTGGGAAGAACTGCAGTTTGAAGGTCTGGTGGGCCCACAGCCGGCGGCTCGCGACTCGGCCGGCAGAGGCTCCGGCCCGGGGTCGCCGGATCGGCCGCGCTCGCGCTCCGACCCCAGCGCGCTGATGCTCTCCTCGTTCCTGTCGGGTAACTCGGCCGTGCTCGATCTGGACGTGGACCAGCTGCAGACCAAAATCCGCGGCGTGCTCCTGGAGAACACCCGGCTGCGCGACTCGATCCGCGACAGCTCGGCCTCGCTGCGCCGCCAGTGCGAGGCGCTGCTCGCCTGGCGTGACGAGTGCCAGCGGCTGCGCGAGGAGCGCCGCCAGGTGGCCGTGCACTGCCAGCGCGCGCGGGACGTCATCACCCAGCTGCGCGAGGAGAACGCCGACCTGCGCCAGCAGCTGGCGCAGCAGCCGCCGGACGCGCCCGGCCGCGAGCCGCAGCAGGCTGAGCCGCCGCAGGACCTGTGCCGGCGCGGCGAGTCGCCCGGCCCGGCCGGCGCCGAGGTGGCACTGCGTTCGCAGCTCTCCCAGCAGGCGGCCGAGCTGCGAAACAGTCAGCGCGAGGTGGCGCGCCTGCAGTCGAAACTGGCGCGCCAGGAGGCCGAGCTGAGCTCCTACCGCCAGGTGGCGCCGGCGGCGGGCCCTCAATCAGCGCCGCCGTCGCCGGAGCTGCAGCGGCTCAAGGACGAGGCGGCCCAGCTGCGGCACAGTCTGGAGAGCGAGCGCCGCCAGCGGCAGGAGCTGGCCGCCTGGCTGGCCGGCGACCAGCAGTACACGCCCGTGCTGGAGACGCTGCGCCAGGCCTCGGAGCGGCTGAGCAGCGGCCAGGCGGCGCTGGACGCGCACGCCGCCCGGCTGGCCGACGCCGGCCGCGCGCTGGACTCACTCTCCGAGCGGCTCCCCGGCCTGGCCGTCTCCGAGGAGTCGCCGGACCGGGTGGCGGCCGAGCTGGCGGCGCTGCGGGCCGAGCTGCAGCAGTTGTCGGCCGCCGCTGTCGAGGACACCGCCGACGGCGGCGAGGCGGTGTCGGCCTGGCGCCGGCTGAGGGACCTGTTCAACAGCGTGGCCTCTCGCTGGGAGGCCGACGTGGCCGGCCCGGACCCGGCCGGTACCAGCCAGCAGGTGCACACCGACGGACTGCAGGCGCGCATCCTCTCCATGGAGGAGCTGCTGGGGGCGCGCGGCACCGAGTGCGAGCGTCTCCAGCGGCAGGTGCTGCAGCTGCGCCGCGATCTGCAGGCGATCGACATCCTCAAGGCGCAGGTGGACGTCTACCAGCAGGACTTTAATCAGGAGCGCCGGCAGCGCGAGCAGATAGCCCTGGAGCGCGACCACCTGCGCAACGAGCTGGCGACGCAACAGACGCGTCTGCGCCACCTCCTGGCGCGTCAGCAGTCGGCGACTCTGACGACGACCGCGGACAGCGTGGAGCCTTCGCGGCCGCCGCCGCCTCCGGCCGCCGGACCGGATCCCGACGTCCAGTCCACCGTCTACTCGTGTCCCAAATGCGACATGGCGTTCCAGGACTTGGAGCCGCTGCAGAACCACGCCAACCGCTGTCTGGACGGCGACTAGAGCCGAGTCTGGTCCGGTGCTGTCCTGGAGCGCGGACAGTGGGCCGGGAACCGCTGTCTGGACGGCGACTAGAGCCGAGTCTGGTCCGGTGCTGACTGGGAGCCCGGGCAGTGGGCCGATGCCTGTTGCTCCGGCGGCACAGCTCGGGCGTCGGATGCCTTACCGCGCCACCTGACGACCGGCCAGAGGTGCTGGCCTCCCCACAGAGGGCGCCGGCTGCCGTGGGATGCGACCGAACGTGAGTGTTCCGAGATTTTGCTACTTAAACGACCGCTTGTAGTTGCCGCTAGTGTCCGTTTCATGCAATATGTGCTATATGAGCAGAGTTGGGGGGAGTCTCTTAGTCCGCGGCCTTTGATTCAATGACTCTAATTGTCACTGAGTTAATTAATGAAAACCAGTGGTTTGATGGTAGGATATACTATGATAAGCACATAAATTTGGCAGCCCCCCCCCCCCCGAGGTTCGACCAGTGTTCGAATGGGCATTTTCGGGCACTGGGCTACTGTGTCTCCGGTGTGGTGTGATCATTTGTGGCCTTGCCCGTAAATCGTTTTGGAAATGATTCACTTTCCAGTCTAACTGATAAGATGCCTTGCCTTCAACTCAGTCCAGTTTCCGGACATAAGCTCGCTTCTTTTTGAGTTGATGGGTGCCTCTAGTTAAGGTTTACTGGTTTAGAATTGCAATGAAGTTAAGTGATTTTATCCGTTATAGCTTTGCTCGTAGATTCCGTATCGAAATGTAGTTTTGCTTTTACGATAAGGTATGTGCCATTACGTATTTTACCAAGTAATGCCACCCCCAACGGGTGACTCACAAAGACCGAAATTCAGCCTCTATTTCGGTCGTTGTGATAGTGATTGTGATTGTGATACTTGTGGGCAACTATATGAGCGGACAAATGTAATAGATGATGAATGAAGCAGGTACGATGTAGAAATGCGTGGTCTACGCAGCCTTACCACCAGTCGCCTTCGGGAAAGGACGTGGAGAGTTAGAAATAAATTAGCCGCGACTTTCTATGTAGGTATTTTAGCATTTTCTCAGTGTTTATGTGCGTGTTGTAGAATGATCAACAACTATGCTAGTTACTAACATTCTAAAATGAATGCTTATTTTGTTATGCAATATGTGTCACAAAAATACATTGTAAAGCAATCAAACCAAATTGTTATCTCTACCACTGCGCGTCAATTGATTGTTACTCGACCGAGGCCGATTTTGTTGTGATTTGGGTAGCCTTGCCCCTCGCTGTATATAATACTTTGCCGCTAGTGTCCGTTTCATGCAATATGTGCTATATGAGCAGAGTTGGGGGGAGTCTCTTAGTCCGCGGCCTTTGATTCAATGACTCTAATTATATTATATTTACTCTATTTATATTATATTTAATAAAATATAATCCCGCTGCACAAAATACTTTCTAACCAGCTTCGATTTGAATCGGTCCAATTTTTAGAAGTTTCCAAGTCATTCGATTATGTTGACAATGGTCAATGATACTGTCTAGTTTTTTTTCGGCCAAGTCACGACCTCAACTTCAATTGACACTTGACCAATGTTTCATATGCGTCACTCACTTGCCTGTCCATTTGAAAACTGTCCATTACACAATGCTTATCAATTTGCGTTAAAATGACCAAAACGTGTGGAATGATGACATGTTGAAAATGGCCGAATGAGACAACAGTCCACTTGGAGCATGCCCGGTTATTTCGAGGGGCGTTTTTGGGTGGCCTCAGCTCTGCCCCTTCCCATGACTCACTGCATGGCTCATGTGGACGTGCCCATTGCTCATCGGGCTATCACAATGGTGGGACCGGGCGGCGTATTCCGGTTACTGCAGCATGTCTGATCGCAGGTGACACCACTGGTAGATCCGGCCCTCTCCCGTCCCGGAGCACTGTGCATTCGACCGTTCACGTGCAGAAATACTGCGTAGGTCGGTACTCGGTAGGCTGTGGGTCATATTTGCCAGGGCGGCTTCGTGAAAGCTGTATTGTCTGGGCCCTGGAGCACAGTCTGGAGTCATTGGCCTTGCCGAATCTGAGCCAATTCTGAGCAGGGCTTCTCGCCCAACTGCACGTTCTGTCAGTCAGCCTATCAGGTGAAGGACACTGGGTCACCATGCTTGTCTCATATCAACGTTCGACGCCCAGCAGAACAGAGTGCGCCGGATCCCCCCGGCTGAGCGCCTGGGACTCTCCCGCTGGGAATGCGTGGAAGCCGCGAGACTCCGTACCGGCCACTCACTGATGCTGCGGGAGTACCGGCACCGAATCGTACTGGAGAACGATCCCACTTGCCCTGAGTGCGGGCAGGAGAATGAGACGCTAACTCACCTCCTGACCGACTGTCCCGCCCGGGCAGTGGTGAGACTAAGGATATTCGGAGATGACGAACCGGAGGTGAGGGAAGCGCTGGGAGACCCGACGACAGGGTTGGCAGGGGGTGGCAAAAACTGGTTTTTGCCAGTGGTTTTAACCGGTTTAAACCGGCTGGCAGAAACCCTGGTGGCAAGAACTGGCAAAAACTGGCTAAAACTCAGATGGCCAAACCTACAACTTTTATATGTAGTTAGGAATGGATTTGAAATGTACAGCCCACCGCTAAAGTAATGAAGGGTTTTACCAATCTCAACGGTTGGCTTTGACTGGCAATTGTTTAATGCTGAGGATACATATAAGCTACATTCAAAGTTTCATTGTAGTCCGGCTAATCGTTCCTAAGTTTCAGAAGCAGAACATACCCATGACTGAAACCACACGTTACTTCTGCTGTGGACTGTACAAATGCATTTCTGGTAGTTATATAGATGCACTAAACATTCTGAAGCTGCCTCATTACTTATCCCTGCTTAAAATGTCTATGCATGTTGGTAGATATCCACAACGGAATGTATTTCCATGTAGGGGAGAGTGGGGCAAGGCGGCCACGGTAAGTAGGGTGTCATGCGGTGCCGTGCGCATATCAGTGGCCGATACCTCTTCGCACTTCTGATTGTGCAGAACTCACCCAGTCACCCTTGCACTGGCTCATTTGTCACCCCCAAAAGTCATCTTACTAGCTCCTTATGGATAGCCCATGAAAATGTTTCTGAGTTAGGTATGAAACATTTCAATGGTCAATGTCACTTCTGTTTGAAAGCATTAAGCTTTCACCGAATTCTCCTTAAAATGTTTCCTGTTCAAAATCATGTCTAGGCATAGCATTGTGACATTTCTGGGTTTTTGCCAGTTTTTGCCACTTTTTGCCGGTTAAAACCGGTTTAAACCGGCAAATGGCATAAACTAGTTTTTGCCGGCAAAAATGCCAACCCTGCCCGACGAAGATGGTGGAGCTCCTGAGGCGGCTGGGCCGCCTGTAAGGCCCCCCCCCCCCCCGTATGGCTTCCCATCCAAGGGCTGGAAGCACTTCAACTTCAACTTCAGGCAACCAAAGTCGTTCGACAACCTGTCTACATAAACAAAACCGAACTCCCCTGCACTTATGGTGCTAGATCGCTGTGAGCATGCCTCGTGTATTCGAGATGACATTTTCGCATTGAAGCTTGCAACACAACCGATTCTTAGGGAGTTTTCACAGCACATAAAGAAACCCATCAGACAGTCGATTAGCACCGTGTAGGATATACGTGTAGCTCCGCTTTCCATTCAGGACGATCATTTTGAATGCATTACAACCGTTCGGCGTGCATCGTTGATGATGTTGAGTATGTGATGTGTCCCCTGCTGCTGTCAATGCTTAGCTGAGAGCTCACTTGAATCTTATCGGCTGAGGCTATCGGAGCAGTTGTATTCGACATTTATCGTCCTTGACATCGAGTCCATCGCCTTGTCCACGTGCTCCGGTCAGTTTGGTGAGGCCGCGTCCCGGTCAGGGGATGCGTGCCAAAAGGTGCCGGTAGCGGCTGGTCTCCCGGGACCGCGGTACAGGTGCACTCTGTACCTTTGGTACCTGGGTTTGGCCCAGGTACGCAGTCCTCTGTCATCATGTGCACCCCTGCTGGCATCCCCATCTGCAACCCCTGCACTGATGTCCGGGAGGCTCTGCACGATGCACAGTGCACTGCAGACTGGTGGTGGTCACAGGGGGCGCAGCGCAATGGGGCCTGGGCAGGGGTCAGATGAGGTATAAAAGTCGGGGCTGCTCGGGCCTCGGCCCAGGTCATAGTGCTGTCTGGTATACAGGACGGTCGCAGCTCCAGCCTCTGCCGCAGTCAGCAGTCACCAGACTCAGCCGCCGTCCGAGCCACATCACCTCGCTCCGATCCGACTCGCTCTCTGCCCCATCAGCCTGCCATCGTAGCGACCCTCTCCAGGTCACCATGAAGTTCTCCGTCGCCGTTCTGCTGTTCGCCGCCGCTGCTGCCGTCGTCTCGGCCCAGGAACCGCCGCCGTCCAACTGCATGAGGTACTGCCGGCGCTCCCGTCTGGAGACGACGTGGGACACCTACTGCTGCCAGAGCTCTGAACACGCCGGCTTCTGCCCGCCGGTCGTGGACGGCTGCCAACCGGGCGAGGCCGCCAAGAGCGCCCCGCGGCCGTGCGAGACCGACTCGGACTGCGCGGAACAGGACAAATGCTGCATGGACGGCTGTCTGAACATGCGCGTCTGCAAGACGGCTATGCAAGGGTAAGCTCGCGCGGCGGACAGGCTCGTCGCCGAGGGGCTGGAGCTGATGGGGTCGGAGGTGACGGTGGGTATTTAGGTACTGGTGGGTACCTTAGTGTGCGCGGCCGGGCAGTTCACGGGGCTCCGCTGTCACCAGTGGTATGCTTCGTTGGCCGTTGCTCACACGTTCAGACACGAACAAACGCAGATTGAAACAGGTGTGAGTGGGCGAGGCACAGATTCTCTTCGTTTTGTCTGGTGCACAAGGCAACAGGTATTTTGTTTTGGGATCACTAATGTTTTTGAAACTGTCAGTGGTTTGGGTGAGGTGTCGCTATTTAAATAAACGTATTTTGCAATGAAAGTTATCCGTCCTCTGTAGTGCCTCTCGTCATATCTCTCCTACTGTGAAGCACATTCGAAACGAACGGGTCTCCCTCGACTGTCCCCTTCCATGTTGCTGTTCTCTCCCCATGCCCTCGGTTTGTTGGGTGGCTGTCTGTGCACCTGCCGACCGCGGGACTGCTCTGACGCGGCAGGTCACCGGTGCCGATCGTCCACCCCGGCCGCTGCCCGCGCCTGTTCCCCTGCCTATCGGGGGTGAAGGGGAACGGCCAGCCCCGGCTCTGCGAGGACGACGGCGACTGTGCTCTGCGCGACAAATGCTGCAGAGATAGCTGCATGGAAGACATGGTCTGCAAGACTGCCGTTCGCGACCGGCGTGTGATGATCGCTCAGTGAGCGGAAGAGGCTGAAACACTCGGCTGGAGTGGTTGGGGTTCGTTACTGAGCGAACAAAGACTGGCCAGTGCTCTGTTCGGGTGCACATTGCGGTGATGGGAGGTCCGACACTGTCCCACTGTCGCTTTTAAGCACAAAAGTAGTGACTGGTTAACAAGGACACGGTGCTCAAATATATTCGGACGATTGCCATGGTAGGGAATCGGCACTTCATCGAGCAAACCACCTTCAATAGAAATGTATCATGGACAATTTGTACGGTTAACAATACAACGTCTGCAACGTTTAAGTCGGGTTCGCTTCATATATTGTATTTAACCGTCACCGAAATGCACGGTTTCGCTCGCCGAGTTACGAGTGCGTGGCAGCGGTACGGCAGCTTTATCCAAGGTTTTATCATTGTGCAAACGTTCTCCTCCCGTTAGTGCAGCTTACCACGGTGGCATTGGAGTGCGCTGCCAATGTGCACATACCCTCGCTCTTTACCTACATACAAACATTAAACATAATTCGTTACATAAAACGAAATTGCACTTCAATCTGAAGGTCGATATGGCGAAACTCCGCCCATCAATCGGAAAAGGTTGGCAATGCATATCTTTAAGACCGCTCGTTAAAGAACATAAATTGGAGTTGCTCGATAAGAATATCAATGTCTTCCAATATAAGCGATGTCGGTAAAATAAGCATAGATAGAATATTTATTTCATACGTGACGAAATGCTCAGAAACGATGCCCAGCATGAGTTGATTGACTTTATGACATTTCCTCGTGTTCGTCGAACAACTGATGCCTCATTGCCACCACTGAAGCCAATAAACCCCAATCTCTCGTCTGCCTTCGCTCCGCAGTCCTGTTTCTCTACCGTCGTCGGTCGTGCCCCGCAGCCACCGCCGACCTTCGGAGCAGAACAGTCGGCCGAGTTTACGACCCGCACCTGCCACTCATCGCGACGCCCCCGGCCCCCGCCCTGCCCTCGCCCGCCTGTTTATTTTCTAGGGTACGCAGATCGAAGCTGCCTGTCTCGTGTGTGCTGGTCGGCTGAGGCAGCGAAAAGTGACCTATAGCGTATGGCGTTGACGAATGTTTCCTGGTTCGGTGGTTAGACGGGTCTACCGCCAGGTGCTACTCGCTTTCCCACCACGTAGCGAAAGCTGAGCTTTTCACACCCGTAGCCCTCAGTCGGGCGGTGTGTCCGGTCCGGTATCGGCGTGGTCTGACCCGGTATTACGGGACTACTGTGGTGTGACCAGTGTAGTAGAACGGACTGTGGTTGTTGTAGCTTCAGACCACGCCTCCCAGCAAGTGCAAGTGCCCTGCTGAGTCGTTTTTGCCGGGCTCTGTCGTCGTTTCGGGGTGCTGCACGAACCCAACGGTACATGCAGCGCCGCCCTCAATCCTTCCGTATCGGGGCCCGGGAGCCGCATACCGACCGACCAGCCCTGCCCCGCCCCCACCGGCTACACAACCTTCCCCCCCCCCCCCCCCCCCCACCGTCGCCCTGGTCGTCCTGCCGCCCGGTGGAGCCACCGTCGGCAGTCGACGGCGTCGCTGCACGGCGGACAGTGACGCCGCGGGGGGCGCGTCCGGGTGACGATATAGTGTGACGCCACGTCCAGGTCCTCTGAAGGCACTGGGTTAACGTGTGTCGCGGCTGGTCGCAGTGTGAGTAGTGTGTGCTGTGCTCAAAACACCGCCTATCCGAACCAGCGCACCGTGCAACAGTGGGCTGGCTCGCCGCCGGGCCTCCCCGCTCAAGGTCAGATGCACTCGCATGCGGCGGAGCTGGGCGGTCGGTTGCGCTCTCGCGTGGCGGCCGGCCTGGAGAAGCACGTGCCTCGGCTGGCGGCGGGTCTGGAGCGGCAGGCGCCGCGGCTGGCTGCCGAGCTGGAGCGCAGGGTGCCGGCCCTGGCACACCGTGTGTCACCGAGCCGCCGCGGTCTGAGGCATAGCCATGAGGAGCCGGAGGACGAGGATGGAGGTCAGGTGAGGACTGCCGGGAATATGTAGAAAGGGTTCTGGGAATAGAAAAGATACAGAGCAGGGCTTCTGGGGTCGGCTGTGGCGCGAAAGTGAGCTCTTGAGGATATGTATGGACTGGAAAAACTGATGGGGATTAGATACGCAAGTGCGGAGAAAAAGTGCTGAGCGCTCAGGGCAAGCGGGAGGAAATGTACCCGCCGAACCTTGCAGCTAAACCCGGGAGAAGCTAAAAGATCCTTGACATTTGGATTACAAAGATACCGATCCATGCGACTGGTTGGCAGCCAACCATGAGTCATTTACTGGCAGCGCTGAAAGGAAGCGGGCTATTATTGTCCTGCTGAATACCTCATGTCTCTCGGTTGCGCCGATGCACGGACTGCCGGAACTCGGATTAAAAAACATAACCTGTGTCTAGCTGAGCTCTACTGTGATGCCGATGAATTATAGATCGTTCGTTCACGAGCCAATACCCGATTCATGTCGTGTATTGTTCCATGGATGCCAGTCCAATGGCCAAACCATTAACGAGCTGTGATTGCACCGTGTTTCAGCAGGGGGAGGCGGACTCGGCCGCTGCCGCTGCGGAGCCGGCTGCCATCCCGACCCTGGTGCTGCACGTGCGTCTGCTGCATGGCCGCCACCTGGTCGCCATGGACAGCTGCGGTACGTGCGGGCGTTCTCCGACCGTGGGATTAAAATCGGACACTGGCTGTTGACAGCTCGGGGTACTTATGTTGAGTGCGGTGCCTCGGCCAGTTTGGTTATAGAGAGCTGCATTACGCCTTCCACCGTCCTTCACCATGGCTCGTCAATGCCCACTGCATGCGGTACGCCAACCTCATTTGTTGGCCTTGATGGATATTACGATTACGGTACACGCTGTCCTTTTTCGATCTGACACGTATACGCCACTGCTACTGCGTACAATACCGGTTACATCGGTCTCGCCCGTCACATTAGGGCCCCTGATGGCCTGACACTAAAAGCATTACGCCTGGATGGTCAGGATCTCCGTGCGAGCTTCATTGCGGATAATGTTTTTGACACAAGCATGTACCTTCGTTTGGGTGGCATTTGCTCACGGCATGTGTCGACGGGGTAGTTCGCATGTGTAGAAGTTTTTGCTATACTTTAATGACGAGGTTCAATCCCTGTCGTCCTGGGATCGTCAAATATGGAAATTTCAGCGTTTTGGGATTTGTGTTTTCTGTCAAATGGTGCAGGTGCAGTTTTCAATTTCACTTTGCCATATGCGGCACTTTGAACGCGTCGTGCATAAAGGCAAGGCAGTAAGGCTTTTATCGCGGCCTACCCGTCAGTAAACCCGTGAGTGTCTTAGCTGTGCATCTGTAATGCTTTCCTGGCTTACATTGTTTATAGATAGCTTACGAACCTGCTGTGTCGTCGTTCTTTGTGTCTAGGATGGCTCGCCTTCCGTTATACATACTTGTATATTGCCAACTTGACTGTTCCTAACTACTTTTTACAACCTTTCAGGCACCAGTGACCCGTATGTGAAGTTCAAGCTGGGCTCGAAAACCGTGTACAAATCCTCGATCTCGTACAAAACTCTGAATCCCGTCTGGAATGAGACGTTTCAGGTGGTCCTTCAGAGGCAGTTCAAGAATCTCAACCTCAAGGTGAGCTATGTCTGCAATTCTAAACGTCGAACTTGTGCACTTGCTTTGTACATCTTGTAACGCAATTTTCAATACGATATTTTGCAGTAATAGCACTTTTTACTGATCTCTGACCGTTTCCAGGTTTATGACCACGACTGGGGTCTGAACGACGACTTTCTGGGCCAGGCGAAGATCGACCTCTCCTCTCTGCCGCTGGACCAGTGAGTGCGCCATACCGTCCCCATTTGCAGCTGCACCCCCGGCCATAACCCACTCGAACTTACAGCTTTGTAGGCACTGACTCATAGGCCCACGCTGTCGCATATGTTTGCCCACTGGCCTTGAATTTGACTAGTGCGTTGTGTTGCATTCGTTTCGTAAGGCTTCGAGTGTCGCTATCGGGAAAGGCATTGCTCTGGTACTGCGTGTTTGCATTTGCACTGTCAATGTCTCGTTATGTAAACTAGCTATCAAGTTCGCTATCAAATACGTCGCCGCATGTAGAGCAATGATAATTGAATCATCCGTAATGGAAATACGCAAATGAGCCATGAATTGCGTCACATGACCTCGAATGCTTATTCAGTTCCACCCATTTCACTGTAGGTTCCGGAATATGCAATGTGCTGAAGAACCAAAGGTTGCGAAAGAGGGCAGTTGCCCCTTGTACGTTTTCCGGGCTGAAAACTGTGAATCCGCTGCTTGCGCTAACTTTTGTGAATTAACAGTGTTTTTACGAGTTTCTTATCCCTAAGATTTTACATTTGACCCCAGTGGGGCCAAGATCAGATGAATAAGTCAACTTGAAAGACGGTGTTTTGAGACAAAGGTTTCCGAATATCGCCGTGCTGTGCTCTCGTGCCCTGTTCGTACACCTACCGATCTGACCTGGAGCTTGTTTTCTCCCCAGGGAGCAGGAGCTGACGGTCGCCCTGGCCGACCCGGACGAGGCCACCGTCACGTTCACCAGCCGCCACCAGGTCGCTGTGACGTCACCGGGACAGGGTGTGGTGACGTCACTGGATGCGAGGGACGTCACCGGACCGCTGGGCACAGTCAGCCTGGCGCTTCGTCTTGTGCCTCTCAGTGACGACGAGGTGGAACAGGTCAGTCGGCTGCCAGTGTCTGGAATGCCGCCAAGACAGCCCGTACATAGGCAGCCCTATGCAACCCGGCTTCAACTCAAAGTCAGCCCATATTCGGGACGCCTCGGATCCACTCGAAACTTTCACACAACGCCCTTGATGTGTGGAATACGTGTCCCAAGTCACTCCTGAATGCTTTGCCTAAAATACGACATTTCAATTAAAGGTAGTGTGCCACCTTTGAAAGATTTCCCATTTTATTTTTCCTAGGATAAGAAGCTTCTGTTTTTACCTAATATCGCAAAAAAAAATCAAAAATGGGCCTGGAATAGTGCCTTTTTCGCCTAAAAGTTTATCGGTTTTTCGATATGTATAACAACTGTAGTGGGCTGATCTGCAAACAGGCGTCGGCAACAATCGCGAATGCGGCGCACATGTGACAATAAGCAAAGGTCATTATAGAGTTACGACGTATGTACGGGAATGAGTTATCAGCTGTCTAATCGTAGACAACACAATGTCGAGCCTTAAACTGTAAGCCTGTATTGGTATTGTTTCTTTTATTTGGCTGTCGAACATTATTTATGGTTTGAAATATGATTTTATGTAAAATAATTGATATGAAAAAGCCGTCTCTTAACCCTCGCCCGTAAACGGCGATCTGCCACCTTCGCCCATGCAGGGGGGGGGGTTGGTGCGACCCCCCCCTTGGCGTTTGAAAACGGAGCGTCGTAGAGCTTAGCGGAAAAGACCAACGGATTGCTCTCGCCGAGATCTCGCGATTGGTGGTATATTTTTTGGTCCTAGGTCAACATTTGACCTACTTTTGACCGGTCAAAGGTCAAATTTTCGGAAAAATAGACTTTTTCAAATTTTCCGCGGCGATTGCGGCAAAACGGTGGGAGATATCGACTTGAAACCTTCACTATCGTGTTCCTTGATCAATTCTCTATCGTTTGGTATGTTTTTCGTTTCCCTAGCTCTAAAAATGACGCGTTGGGAGCGCCGGAAGTCGGCAAGGTCACAGTCGGCGGCAGAAATTCGAAAAATCAAAATTTAAATTTTTGAAATCTGATTGTATTTTTGGATTTGGGATGTCCATTTGCTCCCTATAGAAGCTAATATTGCTGCATATTCCCATTGAGGTGACAAGAATTAGCAAAATAGTGGTTCGGGCGCTTTTCAAAAATAGTACCGGACGTTGTTCCTCTTGTGACGTCATAGCTCCGTGACCTGACCTGACCCGGTCAAGTTTCTTATACTATATGATAGCCAATACTTGCCCCAACATGCATGGGAAGTTTCATCACGATCCATCAACCGATGTCCGTACCACCGGCAGGAAACCTCGGGCGTTGGCACTCAGTTTGTGAAAATCCGGCCGGAGGCTGTTCCCTTTGTGACGTCATAACTCCGTGACCTGACATGACCCGGTCAAATTTTTTTTATCAAAAGATGCGCAAGGTTTGCCCCATAAGGTACCTAAAATTTGGCGGCGCTGCGCGCCGCCGTTTTTGCACTATTTCCGAAAAACCTCAGGGGGGGGTTGCACCAACCCCCCCCCCCCTACATGGGCGAGGGTTAAGTTATGACCCCATTTCACCACACGCAAGTGGCAGAAATGACAATGATCAGCTGACGCATTTTTCTTGGCCGAAGTCAGAGCGCGCGGCCCGACGCACCACCACCGCACCACAAAGTATGAGCAGAAGCCGCGCCCAAAGCCAGGGCCCCGGTAACGTGAGGTAGCGGAGTCGGGGCAGCGTGCGCTGACCCAAGCCGGGGCCGCAGCTTTGGGCGCGGTCTACCGCATCCCCGCGGGCAGCCCCGGGCTATCACATGACACCGGGAGGACGCGCGGCCCCGGCTTGGGTCAGCGCACGCTGCCCCGACTCGGCTACCTCACGTTACCGGGGCCCTGGCTTTGGGCGCGGTCTACCGCACCACCTAACAGGCGTGTTCGAAACCGCAGGAGATGATGATGAACGGGTTTATCGAAACTTGATTGGATGAGCCTATCGGTAATAGCGATTTCAGTGTGTGCATTTATTGTTCATAGTGGTGTGAAATGTGGTTGGGGTACGACCGACAACCCGTCGGGGCGAATTTCGCACGGGGGTACTCAAAATTTGAAGAATTTAAGACGTTTCCATGAGTTTTGAAGGTATGGATAAGTTCTATAAATCCGGTTCTCCTTATCTGGGCCATTAACTCCATACGGTCCAGGAAAGCTGGCACACTACCTTTAAAGCTCGCTGCTCGCTTGGCTGTTGTATTTTGGACAGTAATCATATACACATGGGAGGGAGACAGGCGTGACCTAGCCAACATCCTGGTGACTGTCGAACCTCTGTGATTCCCTGCTTCCAATATATGGGGGCAGTTGCTTGGACCCCGAGTGATTGAAGGCTCAGAAGTACCTGATGATGACTGGTTGTCAGCCAGGTCGGGAAGGGCGTGAGAGAAAGTGACGCGAATGTCCTCAGCCTGACAGAGAAAGTAGATCCGATCCGATCTTTGTAGACTCGGCTTGCCGCCGGGGCGATATCGGCCGTGGACCAGAGAAGGTGTGGTTCTGTTGTTCGATTTGTGTCAGCTGGAGGAAGCTCTCGGTGTCGGGATGATGGCAGGCAGCGGCTGCAGGACACCGTTTTATTGTGTCTAACCTGTCCTCTCCGGATCGCCTTTCTCAGCTGGAAGGCAGCTCTCGGTGTCGGGATGAGGGCAGGCAGCGGCAGCAGGCCTGGAGTCATGTGGTTCACGTTGTGCTGGTGGAGGGGCGTGACCTGCTCTCAATGGATGTGGGCCACACCAGCGACCCCTACGTCAAACTCAGGTCAGTGGCACTGCGGGCCGGTTACGACGATCCTATGATCAAACTGAGGTTAGTTGCGATGAGCCCAGTGACTATACATCAGCAACTTTTTTGAATTGGCGCTAATTAAATTTTGATGAACAATTTTTTGGTATCACACCAATGTGCATACCGAATGCGTTCTAATCTTGAGAGCCGACAGATCTGAGGCCTGGGCCACCCAGCGACATCTACAAGAACACAATCCAACCCTCCAGCTTCTCTATACCCGCACCACCACGACTTGTAGTCTCATTACCTATCTCGTTTCCAGACTTGGTAAGGAGAAGTTCAAGAGCCACACGGTGGGCCACTCGCTGAGTCCGTACTGGGGCGAGGAGTGCTGCTTCCACCTCTATCCGGACGGGTGCCAGCGGTTAGAGGTGGAGGTGTTCGACAGGGACCAGATGACCGTCGACGACTTCATGGGAAGGTGAGAGAGCGCCCCCTCAGCTGTGCTGTGCTCTGTTTTGATTGTGTTTTTCCTTCTTCAAAAGTTTGGGTTTTTACTGTACTGCTAAGTTGTCTGCACACTGAACAGTGAACACACTAAGGTGGTGTGTTGATGCATCAACGCTGTCACAACCGCGGCAGCCTGGGCGCCCTGTTACCGTATTACATTTCTCAAAATTAACAGTCGCAGTCCATCCCGAGGTTGAGATGTACATATCAGGGCGTACGCCACCAGCGTCCAGCACACTATCGACAGGATCTGTAACAGTCAGTAGCGGTCACTGAGGTGGTGTGATGTTCCTATCCCACAGCGGCGTCCTGGACCTGTCCCGTCTGTACTGTATTGACTCTGTAATCCTGTATACCACAGCGGCAGTCTGGACCTGTCCCTTCTGTCCCCGGAGCGGTCGCACAGCGTGTGGGTGCCGCTGGAGGAGGGCGCCGGCGCCGTCCGACTGGTGATCACCATATCCGGCACCACCCATGTGGAGACGGCCTCGGACCTGCTCTGTCACCAGCACGACCCGCCGCACACCGAGCAGCAGATCCGGCAATTGGTGAGGGCATATACGGATAGCAGACCAACACGACCCGCCGCACACCGAGCAGCAGATTCGGCAGCTGGTGAGGACAGGCACGGAACAGCAGATACGAGTACGGCAGGCTGGTGAGAATAGACGTACAGACACACGGACCAACAGATACGGCGGGTGGTGAGGACAGACATAGCCCACACGGACCAGCACGACCCACCGCACACCGAGCAGCAGATCCGGCAGCTGGTCAGGGCAGTCTGCCCGGCAGACATAGTAGACAAGAACCACTGCAAATAGAGCTGGTGAGGGCAGACAGCAGACACACGGACCAGCAGATACGCAGCTGGTGAGGGCCAATCACACGGATTACCAGATACAATAAACATACGGACCAGCAAATACGGCAGCTGGTGAGCGCAAACATAGACACACGGATACGGCAGCTGGTGAGGGCAGACACAGACACATCGACCAGCAAATACGGCAGCTGGTTAGGGCAAACACAAGGACCAACCAGATACGGCAGCTGGTTAGGGCAAACACACGAACTGCTTGTTACATACCAGTGCTGGTGCAACGTCTGGTGCGACCAACAGGTATAGCCCTTATTGTGTCCAACGTGATCTCTGTAACTAACAAGCTATGATGCTGTCTTACTGACACACTGCCGGCCAGATAAGTCAGATGTGTGATCAGCCAGAGGGCGCCACTAAGAATGAAACAGAGAATCAGAGAGCATCAGTGTATCATACGTCAGTGCTGTTTCGGTCAAAACCACGGTCATGTGTAGGAGAGAAAAAGACCCATGTTAGGGATGAAACATAAGACTGTCATCCGTGGTCAAAACGACAATAAACAGTGAGCCACATAGGCGCCATTTGTCTCGCCCTGTATCCCGTATGACAGTGTCGCCCCTTATCCTCCCGTGTAACTAACGAGTCCCCACTCTCGCAGAGCTTTCCGAGGACGCTGGAGCGCCTGACGCCCGTGGGCCACCTCTCGGTGAAGGTGCTGCGCGCGCGCGGTCTGGCCGCGGCCGATCTGAACGGCCGCTCGGACCCGTTCTGCGTGCTGCAGCTGGTAAACAGGCGCCGCCAGACGCAGACCGTCTACAAGACGCTGGAGCCCTACTGGAACAAGGTGTTCAGTCTGTGAGTGTCCCCGGCCCCCGCATGCTCAGTTTGTGTTACTTTAACGCCAACACGTGTGGCGAAAGGGAACCCTTGAGTGGGCCCTATCGGCACTTTGTTACACTTCACTATTTACGTCTTGTACGTTTTTATGACCGTAACTGTACAATGACCATCCAGTCGATCACTTAACCCGCGCCCCGTAAGGGGGGGGGAGGGGGCCGAAACGGCCCACTGTCCTTTTCCGTCGATATCTCCTAAACGGCTGGAGATATCGCCACCAAACTTTTAGGACCCCTCCGGGCATCAATTTTACACATTGTGGCCAAAAATTTTGCAGAGGCTCTGATAGGTTGGCCACAAAAGACGTCAGAATTACGCCATGTTCTGCGGCATTTTCGACCGAAAAAAGACCTTCGCGAGAAGAGTTGTCAGGCCTACAGCTTTGAAGATACAGAAAAATGATCAAGACATAAAAGGTGCAGGATTGAGAGGGCTACAAAATTGCTATCTCGGATTTTTGAAATTTTTGAGTTTTGACCCCCAAAAATAAAAAAAAAACATTTTTTAATATTAGCCAAAAAATCCAAAAAGTTTTTGAGTTTCGAAAAAAACGGAATATATGTGATAGTACCTACCGTCTTTTATCTACATACCAAATTTCAGATCGATATCTCGTTTTTTGGCCAAGTTATAGCGAAAAAAAAAACTGTTAAAAAATGATGACGTCAAATTTTCAAACTCAATGTTTGGCAATTCTAGACCACGTAGAGCAAAACAAAGACCATCATTAGACTCCCCGTGACGAGCTGCATCGAATCGATACCCATTTTATGCAAAAATATCATATTTGAAATTTGACGTAATTTGACCTGACCTTGACCTGATCTTTACCAGAACGTGACCTAAGCTGGCCCCAAAGGCTGCCTGACCCACACAAGTCATGTAAAATGGACCATAAAACATTTATCACACGGCACTTTCATATTGTGACCCCCCAGTGACATGACCTCTGTGACCTGACCTGATATCAGTGACCTCAGATAGCAAAGTATGTGTTTGACGAACAATGTACCATCGATGGTTTTCAATAACTTACCAATGTACTCGATTTCACAACACATTTCTTGAAATGCCTGTGAACGGTGAAAATCCGACCTTTGACCTGACCTGTGACGTCATCGGTTTGACCTAGGTCAATGAAATTCGGTCACAAGGTAGTTCCCCGGTGGGGCTATCGAACGCCGTTTGAGTTTTGAAAATCCGCTGGTAAATTTCCGAGATCTTAGCCCCCCCCCCCCCCTACGGGTGGTAGGGTCAGCCGATAGCCCTACGGGGCGCGGGAGTTATTTCACCCTCAAGTTGACGGTAACGGTGCTGTTTTGTCTTGCAGTGAGGTGAACGACATTCACAGCGTGCTGGAGGTGACTGTCTATGATCAGGACAAGGATCACGCCGTGGACTTCCTTGGAAAGCTGGCCATCCCACTGCTGCAGGTATGCTTGATTGCATAGTCAACTGGCTCCGATAGGCATCGGTCTGTGTACGAATACATTCCGGACTTGTCGACAACTTCCTGTCGCTGTGCTAACAGCAAACAATCTTCAAAGTTCGCATTATCATCTGTTTTAACTATTTCAAGTCGCATTGCAATCTGTTTGAACTATTTCAAGTGTATATTGAATGTCATCGACACCTGCGAATGTCGTGTTTAATTGGACTTATGCCGAATGTGTCCTCATGGGAAAAGGCATTTCAACGTGAAATGTTCATGAACCATATTGAGTTCGTTTTGACAATTTTACAGATACAGTCAGGGAAGCGACGATGGTATCTTCTCAAAGACGAAAGACTTCGACACAGAGCGAAGGGCAAAAATCCCCAAATTCTCCTGGAATTTGATCTCATTTGGAATCAGGTAATGAAATGCCTCGTAACATGTTTCATAATTAAATTTTATGCGTACCGTCGTATAATTTCGCCGTTTATCACGTTTATACGATCATGTCTGGCGAACCAAGGCTATGTAAACGCTGCCTGCGAAGATGATGTGTTTGGAGTAGCTAATAGCTTGTCCATTATTTTTATATTTATATGAATTTTTATTGTCAGAGTCGTGACTATGACTTGTGATAAGATTTTCGATTTGCATTGACGGCGCTTTCAGCAGCTCGTCTGCAATCTGTATCGCTGTGGTGCGCCGTGGTCTGACGGTCATCGCCCCGTCGTGCCGCCGGGGCGGGGCCGCAGTCCGCTCATGGGATCTGGTCTGATATACTGCCGTGCACGGGCACGATGTGCTGACTTGCACGTTCTGCAGACCGGCGCCGGCCACTCCGCTCCGCCCTGTACCGGTGCCATGACCGGTCGTTCCCGTTTAGCTCGACCGATCGTGACTACCGGCCGACCCTCTCCATCGGCCGGTCAGGTCGGCGTCCCGGGCCCCGACTGACCCGGTAGTGCCCTCTGACTGACCCCGGCCGTGCCCTCTGACTGACCCCGGCCGTGCCCTCCGACTGACCCGGCGCGGTCCTCAGGTACGCGCCGCCCTCCGAACGTTCACACCGCGCGAGCAGCCGCTCGTCCGGCCGCCTGTCCGCTTCAGGATGTCTGCGTTCGTGCGGATTCTGAACCGGCTGAACGCGCTGAGTGTGGGTGCTCTGGAGCTGCACGCCTTCATCAGGTAACGGGCAGAATCAGTGAATAACTACACCACGCTTGTTTGCTTAATTGGCATTCCTGGCTTATGCTGGTGATTCGCGTTAAAGTTAAAAGTGGTTGTTCGCAACAAGACCATTGGTTAAAAAAAAACTTTTGTAATGGTGCAGTCGTGATGTTCTCGCTTGTGTGATCCGGTAATAAGAAATGCCGTATAAGTATAGTCGACTACAGAATGATGTTCCACTCCTCAGAAGCTATCAGCTGACCGGAGCGCTAAGTTGTGCCGTTTATCACGCAATTAAGCGTGTCGATTGTGAGCATTGGGACAAAGCTATAATTTGTGAACTCAGCCCGTGTGATGCGGCACAGCCTACCACTCCAGGCAAATAATTGCCTGTGAAAAGTGGAACATCATTCTGTAGTCGACTATACACCCTGGCACCACTTCTTCCTCTCAATACAGCACCGCATTGATCTGAGAATCTAACACCTTTTCTATCCCTCCTCCCTCACAGCAGGGTGCTGGCCTGGGAGTCGGCGCCGCGCTCCCTAACATTACCCCTCCTCTGACAGCAGGGTACTGGCCTGGGAGTCGGCGCCCCGTTCCGTCTCCGTGTGGATCGGCTTCCTGTGCGTCACCTACTGCTTCCAGCTGTACATGGTGCCGGCGCTCCTGCTGCTCGCCGTCTTCGGACGCTGGATGGTCAGTTTCAGAATACACCCGGGCGGCCCGTGGTAGGTGTCCCTCGATGGGGGTGAGGGTGGGGGCACCAGACCTGATGTTATCGGTCTGGGATGAGGTTTGAGTTGAGGGTTCTTCTTTTTGTAACGAGCTTGCATGAGGAGCTTCCGAGTTTGAAATGCTTGTCCATCGGCTAGGTGAAACGGTTATAGACAAAAAAGAAAGTTGCTTTTAAAATGGTCAGGGGTCTGGTTAATGTCTTTATTATGATATCTTCAAGAGCTGGCTAGAAAGCTTGAACTCACTGGTATTCTCTTTATTGACCAAGACAGTAGCTGGTGTATATTCTCTTCAACATGTTTGAGCGTTTTGTACTCTCCTATTCACGGAGTACCTGTTTTCAGATGCGGATGGCGTCGTCGTTCCGCGGTCAGAGTCAGGCCGAGCTGGAGGGCGGCGACCCTCCGTTGGAGGAGGAGGATGACGCGCTGGAGGACGAGGTAGCGTGCTCTGATCTCCGGTATATAACTATAAGTGTGGTGTGGTGTTTACATAAGTGTGGTGTGGTGTGGTGTTTATAGTGTGGTGTTTACTGTGGCTGTTTACCCCGTGTGGTCCCCGGGCTGGGAGGCCGTTATCCTCCGGTAGAGGACATGCGGGAGGGGTAGTGTGATCTGCGCAGCTCCGGTATAGGGTGTATATTTAGCGCATGATGCTTACTGCGGCTTTTCACCTTGTATGGTCATAAGCCATCTTCTGTCGCGTGAAAGAATCTCGCGAGGTCCAGGACGGGTGTGTCGCCATCTGCATGCGATAAATCTCAAATCGAGCCCTCACGTGCGCGGGCTGTGTTGATGGAAATAAAATAATAAAATCCTGTTACCAATCAGCTGCGGATTTTATTTTTGCGTAGTGATATATCCGCTGTTGTGACTGTGCTGCGCCTGTTTCAGGATCTGAGCAGCTCCCGTGAATCTCTGGAGGTCGACCTCCGCTACTGGCGGTACCTGCCGGTGAGCTACGATTAGATCCTGCACCCTTGTATCCATTTAATGCAAATTATTCGCAAGTAGCCTGGCGAGTGATGATAGGAATTATGTAACATCTATGTCTCATATTTAATTATAGGTAGGCAAAATAATGAGGTCGAACGATGATGGAGTGGAGGGATGCATTCGTGCTGACAATGCTTGGTAAAATAATCATATTACATTAGATTAGTCCGTAATTGGTCATGACTGTTGTTATGCCGTGTGAGATTACATGATGTTTCTGGTTCGCTCTTCCCAGGACGAGAAGAAGACTCTGAAGGAGAAGGTTCTCTCGGTGCAGGAAGTGACGTCACTAGTACAAACCTCGCTCGGCTACCTGGCCTCCCTCACCGAACGAATACTCAAGTACGTGATATGAATAATGAATATTTCATCACTGCTTATGAAATTGAATGAAACAGTTCATCGTGTGCATTGCCATAGAGATTCAACTTTGTCGTCCTCCAGGTGTTACTGGAATGTTACCGGCGTTTTTGTTTGTCATGGCTACCGGTTTTAACCGGCCTTTACATATTGTTGAATGCATTATGAAATTTTTCGAGTTTCAAAGACTTTCTTTAACTCCTTCAAACAGATTACACGGTAAAAAAAAACTAGTATCGTCGTGTCTCCCTCCGACTTGTTTGTTTGTTTGTTTTTGTTTGTTTTGTTGGGTTAGGCCCTTTCGGTCTGACAAGACCATTTCAGAGCCGGGAGGATGATAGGATATAGGGGGAGACATTGGTCTGGGCAGGCACCCTAGTGAGTCGCCGGGGCTGAGCCCGTCCAGAGGACAGGCCACCCAGCCCCAAGGCACTCACTGCACCCGGCTGCGGGGTGCGCTCCCTCGGGAGCAGCGGTGCCGCTCCAAGGGAGCAGCCCGCATGAGATAAAGTTGCCTGTCCAGCCCGGAGGGGGGTTGCGGCGTGGAGGAGATGGATTTCAGTATCCTGAGGATAGAAGCACGGAACAGTGTCCTTCCGACTGACCCATATCCACGGTTGCCCCGCAGCACGGCGGACTTTGTGGTGCCCTTCGTGTCGTGGCTGGCTGTGCTGCTCCTGCTGGGCACCACGGCGCTCTGCTACCTCCTCCCGGTGCGATACATCGTGATGCTGATGGGCAGCTACAAGTTCACCAAAGGCCTTCTCTTCCCGGGCACGGTGTCTACGCACGAACTCATCAACTTCCTGGCCTGCGTGCCCGACTCGGAACAGCTGGTAAGTCGGCGGGGCGGCGGGATTGAGAAGGCACTGAGGTAGGGTAAGGGCGGGTAAGAGTACGCGGGCGATAAGAGTACGCATCAGCTGTTTCGGTTGCTTAGCAACGCGGGTTTGTCGAGTTCATGAAGTGACATGAAGCCGCCAGTGCGTGCTTGTCACCAACGGAACGTGGGCGTTGAGCGGCGACGCTGTTGAGTTTAAGGCGATGAATATTATTTTCGAGCGTTATGATATTATTATGGTATGGTACAATAATTTTGATACTTGGCAGTTGAGATAAGGTACATTTCCGTGATTGTTGTGGGAAACTTGTGAGGTTATCTGGGGAAATACTGTGCAGTGCAATATTCTGTTTGCGAAGTTTTGCACAACGTTTCGGGATTGTTTTGTGCGCGAATTGCATGTACGGTAAGAGGACGCACTGTTCAGGAGGGTAAGAGTACGCAGAATTATACATTAAATCGAATATACAGAAATATAAAACTATTAATCTATCGCTCAATGACGTTTGTTTTGTAGGTATATCATCAATGGAGCACTGTGATGCAGATGCGTACCCGAAATTCTTCCAAATACGAGTTATTCTTCCTTTTGATTGTGCATTTTTTTAAAGAAACACACGACATGATTATTTCCTGATTTATAGACTTGAAAGATGTATTTTATGTTTTTCTTTTTGGATACTAGAATTAACTTAAATGCCTTTTGAGTTTGAAGTTAAGCATTTGGACAATACAAGCTGCATAGGTGTGTGTTCATATGCTTGCGTACTCCACCCGCCTGGCGTGCGTACTCTTACACACCCCATATGGTAAGAGTACGCAACTGCAGCGGTTCAGAAAAAGTCAGTTTTAGACCACTTCCATTTACGCTGAAGGATCGTTGCCCCATGGGTTGATGGCTAATTCAATGAACTTTAATATTTCCTATTTGCGATTTCTTTCTTTCAAATATTAAACAAATGAGAGCAAGAAATCCACTAAGTGCGTACTCTTATACGACTTCACCCTACTGCTGGCTGATCAGATACGCGGCGGTACGAGCATGGCCTAAGCTCTGAAACTCGTGTGTATCCAGAATGCTAGCAGTCATTATCTATTCATTTGATATGACTGAAAAAGTGCGTGGGTGATTTTGTAACGCGTAACCTGAAGATTATTTAAAGCGGCAGCGTCCTCCCAGATATTCATCGACCTCGGAACCGTTCTTACGTTTCCGCAAGCGTTCGCATCCATATAGGATGCAAACGCTCGAAGTTCGATCTTGTGTGGGATGTCTCCTCGGTTATTTTTTTGTTTTGTTGGGTTAGGCTATTTCGGTCTAGCGAGACCATTTTAGAGCCGGAAGGATGATGGGATACGGGGCGGGGGACACTGGTCTGAGCGGACACCTTAGTGAGTCGTCGGGGCTGAGCCCATCTAGTGGACAGGCCACCCAGCCCCCTGACACTCACGGCACCCGGCTACGGGCGTGCTCGTAGGGGAGCTTTCCGCATGGGATAAAGTTGCCCTTTTTAGTCCGGAACAGGGAGTTAGGGAGAAGGATTTGAATGTCCTGAGGATGGAAACGACGGAAAGGCTGCCCTCGGTTATGCACTGTCAGCGAAACACCCGGCTGCCGCTAACGGAGCTTTGGCAGAGTATTAAGGGAAGATGCAGGTAGAATGCATGGTTCGGTTTTAACTAAAAGCTCATTGCATTACGTGTAATAAAGGCGCAAAGCTGTGGTGAGTTGTCGAATGTTCAACTTCCTGGTCCCATTTAGAAGTCAGATATTGTCATTCAAATTCTGGATAATCGCCGATCTCCGCTGGACAGAGGAATAGGTAATCGTTGTGTGACCTTTTTGGATCTTGGAAGAGACACGAACTAGCCAACATTCCAAACTTATCAAAGTCGGGAATCAGAAGGTTAATTTGCATATTAGCTGCACCGTCAATCTCCGCTAATTCAATACCAAATGCATAAACATTCACCGGTGTCTACTCCACCCCAACATGTTTACAAGCACAACATGTAGCCTTCCAGAATCCCATTTCCAGTCGCGGCATCTGCGCAGTCACCTCATTAGTGTTCGGCTTATTTCCGCGTCTGCAGCGGCGGACGTGCATCATGTCAACAGATCGTGCCGCAGCTCGGGACGGCCTCCGCCCCGGAGCGGCGCGGTTCCCACAGCCATGAGCGCAGCTCGGCAGACTCGAGTCACCGTGAGCTGCAGAAGCCGCGCCGTCACGCTCCGGCGGCAGCTCTGCGGCGTGCCTGGCACCGGGGAGTGCTGACTCATCGTGTGCTACCTATCAGTGTCCGTACCGGCTCCGCCTCACGGGGAGAGAGCACGGCCGCTCTCGGCAGTTCGTGAGGTTCGCGCTCGGACGGACGGGTTGAATGTTCGGACGGGTTGGTTGTTTATCGTTCTCGGAGCCGTGAAGGGCAGGGACGGGACGGAGCGGGGCGAGTGGTACGCGGCACAGGGGATAGATGCAGGAAAGGGATGAGGCGCAGGGGTAGTTCGCAATGTGAGAGGACGGAGAGAGAGGTGAGCGTTGCGGAGTGCGCGATGTGGGGACCGAGAGATAGCACAGAGACGTGACGAAACTGAGCGTGTGGTGCGCGGTACTGGATAGTGAGTGGATACGGGGTATCGACTACGGACCAGTGCAGTGTATGTACAGGATATCCGTTTCACAGAGTAATGCTGTGGACAGAGAGGGCTACTTTGGAATGCGCGGAGCGCAAAGCAGTTTATGAAGTGCCGAGTCAGAGTGGAACCCTGAGCCGTACCAGACCTGGGCCACATGCCGAATATTGCGGAGCACAGTTTGAGCAGTGCATGGTTCGGAGTTCGGACAATGACATGCCCACATTGAGATTACTGAGTTGATGCTGTTGTTCCGATTTCATTAATGCTTATCACTCTTGTAAACAGGTACGCTGCTCCGTGCTAATGTCCCCTCCAGCGACGGGGCTAACTTTTTGTTTGTATTCACTGCCCGCCCGTTCCGTTTCAGAAACAGTGGCGAGAGCTGGGTCCGCCGCCAGTGACTGCTGCCGATCGCCGGCGCCGACAGCGGGCCAGACACCGGCTGGGAAGACGTCACTGATAAGTGAGAGCACCATGGCAGGAGCGGTGACACCTCAATGATGAGTGTGGAAAATAAGGTAGCGAAGGAGCCCATTGACGAGTGTGGATATCACTGGAGCGGTGGCTGTGTGACCGGATTCTGGTATCGGGCTCCGGACGTCGCATGCACTCTGTAGTCTTCGCTGTAGACTCCGCTCTGGTTGAAGGCCGAAGGCAGGCAGTTAAAGCTCGGCTGTTTGGTATTTTTACTTCATCGCATTGTACGGATATAGTTGTCCTCCATTTTACCACTCAGGATATAGGAATGTAGGTATCCACTTCTGATATTTCAAGAGAAATGACCTCTGCTTGATCGTTCATCCGTGTGTGACGCCAATCATCGCATCGCCGGTGCTCAGTTGTTGTGAGGCTTTTCACTTGAGAATTTGCGCTTCATGTTCTATTTCCTGCTGAGCTGCTAGTTTAGGTGTGGCCAGGGGCGATGGAAGCTCAAGGTCAGGCACATTGAACCGAACTTGTCCGGTTTAAACTGTTATTATTGCTCAGTATCACGTTAGGTCTACTGGTTGTTTTGATGGTTGTATATCGTGTAAAAATCTCATCAGTTACAAGTCAGCCTTGAGTCCAACAGTGCTGTGACGTGGCACCAGAGTTGATAACGTGTGCATAAGACGATATAATAACAACTCATTCTTGCCTTTTGAAGCAATGATGAAGATCCTTGTAGTACGTAAGGTAAGACCGCCTACATTTTTTCTCGTAGAATGTGAGTCGCACTTTATGGAGCCGATGAGATGGTGTGTTCGATACAAAAGCTACTGCACATGCGTCAGTTGCCTAGCATTGATTTAGCTAGTTATGATGTGTATATATTTTTGTTGTGTAGCTCAGACGTAGGCAAAGCAAAGCGACAAATAAGTAAACCGCCATCAGACTTCGACATTTTATCGGCACAAGTGCGTCTATACGGTTTACGCCCATTTCGCATGTCGACGACTGTCGGTGGTGTCGACAATGAATAATAGGCTGGCCACCTTTGTGATGTGTCTGAGGCAGATGAAAATGCGTAACTATGCTAGATACAATTTGTTATACGACCATTCCTTTTGTACTGCAACTTTCAATGGATGCATCTTTTGTTACCTATAATAAATGCAGCAAAATGGTGATATGTTGATGTTTTAGGCGAGTGCATTTTAATTTGTACATGAGCTTAATAAGCTTCTAGTCGATCCATTCTCGATGAAAAGCTTGTCAGTATGAAATACGGAGCTCGGGGCGGAGGTTTATCCTCAAGTGAATCCGGACATAGGCCTTGGCGCAGCCTGGATGCTATATTGGTAGTATTTTCAGTGTGCACTGCGGAGAGACGGATGTGAATAAGTTGAAGATGTGCAATGACGAGAGCACGATTAAGTCACCACCATTTTAGCCGCACAGCCACCCGGCGCTGGTCGCGGTGCGCTGCGGGCGGACCGCGTCCTCCATCTCTGTTACTGACCGGAGACGGCCATCCTCCACCTGCACCGGCACGGGACGCACATGGGACGGGCCGGCCGGCCGCCGACACTGACGGACAGCCATCCCCGCCGGCCTGGCCAATCACAACACCGACTCCTGGCAGTGCCGGACGCGCCAAGGTCAGCTCAATAAAGGGCATGGCAACGCCCGCCGGCGCGGGGCGGCACGAGCGGCGTCCGGTGCCCGGCGGCGTGAGAAGATCACCGGCGCCGCTCCCGGGCCGGACGGGCAGCACGGGCATACCCGCGGTGGGCTCGCTCCGGCCCAGCTCGGCGGCTGCGAACCGGACAGGTCCGGTCACCATCAGCCGGGCGGCAGTGGGAACTTGCGCTGTGCATGAAGGGGGTAGGGTTGAGTTCGTCTTCCATCACCTGCTAAAATTATGTCAAACAGCATTGCCACTTTAACCCGCGCCCTGCTGGGGGTCCTGGATTTCCACGCCCTGCTGGGGGGGGGGGTGTTTGAACACCCCCCCTTGTAACTCGGCTCCTGGGCCACGTAGCGATACGCGGAAGGCGGCGTTCGAAAGAGCGTCAAAAATAATGACGAAATCACTTCGGTCAATTTTTTGGTCAGGTCAAAGGTCAGGTCACCAGAGGTCATTGAAGGCAAAATTTCGCCGATTTCCAGGTCGAATGTCGAAAATTTCCAAGAAGCCAACGCATAACTCGGGAACCAATAGAGCTACAGCGCCGCGGAAAAGCGCATTCGATAGCCCTATTAACGCCCTTTCTGAGTAATTCTCTCAGATTTGACCTAACGTCAACGGTTTTGCCTGCAGGGGGCAAAAACTGCAAAAATAGCCGATTTTTTCGAAAACAGTTTTTCTGCAATAACTTATGACCCAAGCCTTGTACGAGCTTACTTTTACCGGCATCGTGTTTCTCTCGTCAAGACGCATCGAATGAACTATGACTTGACCTTGAAAGGTCAACTTGAAAATTTGACCTCAGGTCAAGGTCATGACCTGACCGGAAAGGGTCATGTTGCATATCAGTCGATCCGTATCGTCGAGCTGAACACATCTAAGGCGTTTTCATCGCTCTAGCACGCCTCTATCAAAAGTTATTTGCGAAAAACTGTTAGATACCATTCGTGACCTAAGATGACCTCAGGGCATAAACAAGGGTCACGGACACCATTTTCAAGTTCAGTGTGTCTAAACCACTTGTAATTCGGTGTTTGGGAGTGTTTATAATGTCTTTCATCCAAAAGAGGCGCATTTCAATTTTCTCCCATTGACTTATAATGGGGAGGTCGCAAAATTGACATGACCTTAGGTCATCGATATCAAAATTCTGAGATATACATTTTGTACATGCTATTGCTCTCAGCAATCGCTGAAAGTTTCAAAGCGATCGGTCACTCGGTGTAGCTATGACAGACATTGAAAGTTTTTATGAGGTGAGGTCACTTCAAGTGACCTGGTGACCTGACCTTGAATGACCTTGGTCTGAAATTTTCACAACATGTGTAGAATTGATGTATGATAAGGTGTACCAAAAACGGCGGCGCTCCGCGCCGCCGTTTTTGAGATATTCGCGAAAAACCACAAGGGGGGGTGTTCAAACACCCCCCCCCCCCCAGCAGGGCGCGGGTTAAGAATCTCGACACACAATTCGATGTCAATTATAGGCATTCCATTCCCAACGTCATTCACAACCGCTGTAAAATGTAAACGATTGGTCATGGTGGCCCCAAGCATAATGAAAAAAACGCATGTGTCGCATGACAGTGTCGTATTACTTACAAAGTGACGTTTTATTATTTTTGTAAACCAAGTGAACGGGCTGAATACCGTCCTCGTCGGCAATTTATTGTACTGAGCCTGAGAGCCGTAATAGCTCTAACTTCGAGCCCATTTTACAGAGACTCCCGATACTTTACCGGCGCCCACCGCCTCTAATTTCCTACATAACTAAATGTACCTACATTGCAAGCAAGAATACGCACAACGCTGATGCTACATGAATCTTGTTACAGTTTCCTCACTCGTTGTTGTGGTCTTGTGTAATGCTCCATTTGCTGCACCCGGTGTTATTTTTACATGTGCATTGTAGTCACCGTCTAATGGTGTTAGACTGTGTCATGTTGCAGACTGCAGTATCCGCTCAGTGTTACTGTCGTGTGTACCTACTGTTGCAGTCTCCAATTCTAGTGTTGGTGTGGTGTTACTGCCATGCTATTGTTGCTAGTGTTCTGTGTGCTGTTGAAGCCTCCGACTGTGATGTTAGTGTTGTGTTTTACTGTTGCAGTCTCCGCCTGTGATGTGTATTGATGTAGTCTCTGACTCTGGCGTTAGAGTCGTATGTATCGTTGCAGTCACTGTCTACATTGTTGGTTTGTGTCTTTGTTGTAGTAACCGCTTTGGTGTTGCTTTTATGTGTATCGCTGTATAGTTTTATAAGCACTGTTGTAGTCTTTGCCGCGTAGTGGGATCAATTGTGTCATGTGTGTATCACAGCATCCCGCCTCCGTCCTATGCTGTTACTGTTCTGTATATTATTGCAGTCTCCACTGCGTGGTGTTTTTGTCGGTAGATTTTTGTCTTGTGTATTTTTGGCTGTTGCCGTATCCGTAGACCGTCCCTTGGTGCTAGCGTCGTAATAGAAGCCCGTGTTTGAAGGACAATGATAACATGAGATACAATATGCAAAGTTCAATGCCGACGTCGGGAGACGCAGTTGGTTCGGCCGGCGCGGCAGTTAGCGGAAGGCACGGCCGCTCTTCACGAGTCACTGTGTGCCGCTGCGGCGCCACCGCTGTTGCCAGCTGCCGCCGGCTGCAACCGCTGCAGCAGGCCGCCCATGACCGCAGCGGGCCGTGTATAAAGGCGGCGGGAGGCGAGCAGCGGCCCGCAGACACCGCCGACCCCGTCCCGGCCACACACCTCCCCGAAACAGGTGAGCCCTGCCCGACCGGCGCTGGGCAGAGACTTGGTGAGCTATGGTGAGCTGGTAGAGCCTTTCTGCAGATTGATACTTGGCTCACTGATTAAATTTCTAATCGTAACTGCAACAAGAAATGGTAGCTTGTTTTGTTGCAGCTCTCGAATTTCGAATAGTCAAAAATTATGAGTTTATTTCATCATTATTAGCTTAAGCACAAATTACATTATTTAACCACCGTTTTATTTGTAGCAATTAATACTTACAAACCGTCGTTAGTTTTAAAAGCTCGTTGTGCCGTCGCGGTTTCTCCGTTGTTTCAGTGTTGTTTGCTCCCGTTTCAGCCGTTATGAAGTCCGTCCAGCTCGCCGTTCTGGCGGCCTGCCTTTGCGCCGTCTCTGCCGGCTGGCTACCAGAGAAAATGGTCAAAAAGTTCGCCATGAAAAAGGTGAGCTCGGTGTCTGGGAATTGTAGCACAGAATGCCATCGGAAACGGCGCTATGTGAGTCAAAATAAGTTACCAGTCTCGCTCACCGATCTTTAGGGAATATCGCGCTCTACATAGTTTTTGCGCATAAAAACTATTGGGCAATGATAAAGGTCGACAGCATTTAGCTATGATCATAACGCTACTCCCGTTCAAATGTGCTTCAGTCGGCAACGCCAAGGTGCCCTGGATAAATACGTCATTGAAGAGAGCGCTCGATGAAAACACCAATATCGCTTTATAGTTATTTTCAGCTTCATCTTTTTTTTACATGAAATGTTCCCCCGGCCGGCAGATTTACGCGGACTGTTTCGGAAAGGAGGTGATGTCCTCCCTGCGTGAGGAGATGTACGCAGCGCACGTCAAGTGCAGCGGACACCACCCGGAGGCGCTGCCCGCCGCCGACGCCATCGTCACCGGCGACGACGAGCTGTCGGTAAGGCTAATGACGTCACAACACTAACAGTAACACAATGACTCCGTTCTTACTTCAGAGAACCGTTATGACATGAATGATGCTAGAGTGACATTCGCTGAAAAAGAGTCCTAGTGAATGTCGTTTGATGCAAAGTTTATATTATAAAGCTAAAAACTCAACCGTATAAAGGTTGGAAAATATAAAGGTTAAGGTTATGAAGGTAATTAATATTAAGGTAAAGGTACATAAAGGTTATATAAAGGTTGGAAGAAACCTTCACCTCAACTGACCTCGATAGCATTACTGCATAGCAGTTACCAGTTACATGTAAATATACCAAAACACATTTTCAACTCACCATCGGCTTGGTGCTGAAGTCACAAGGACATCGGCCGCTATGCCCTGTCCCGTCCATCGCACTCTAAACATTATATGGCTTCTCTCTCTCTCTCTCTCTCTCTCTCTCTCTCTCTCTCTCTCTCTCTCTCTCTCTCTCTCTCTCTCTCTCTCTCTCTCTCTCTCTCTCCTCTCTCTCTCTCTCTCTCTCTCTCTCTCTCTCTCTCTCTCTCTCTCTCTCTCTCTCTCTCTCTCTCTCTCTCTCTCTCTCTCTCTCTCTCTCTCTCTCTCTCTCTCTCTCTCTCTCTCTCTTTCTCTCTCTCTCTCTCTCTCTCTCTCTCTCTCTCTCTCTCTCTCTCTCTCTCTCTCTCTCTCTCTCTCTCTCTCGCGTTGCAGCTGGTTCGCCGCCGTAGGCAAGCGCGCCACTTCAGCCCCGACAAGCTGGAGAAGATGCGCACCAAAATCACCGCCTTCTTCGGCAACGCCACCTGCGTGCTCAGGGAGCTGAAGATGGTAAGGAACTTCAAACCCGGGTACCGTTATGTGGTCATGTCTTTCCCCACATGTTATGACCATCAGGTGGCCTGGCGTGAGCCATTACATATATGACGTAAAAGCGGCATTTCATAGCAAACGTCTATGGTATGATGAAGCATTAAAGTGCATTTGAAGTTTCATTTTCGAAACGAATAATGGACATCAGTCCTTTGGTGACCTGAGAGTGGAATCGTGGCACATTTTAGTAAAAATAACTCCGCTTTTTCTTCTTCAGCTTGACAAGGAGAACAACGTGGACATCGACTCCATGCGGGAGCGGCTCTCCAACATGGACATTGACGAGACCATGAAGACCGAGCTGGGCCAGTTCATGACCGACTGTCACCAGTTCGCCTCCTGCATCCCTGACCACGTGCTGGATAAGCCGGGAGTGCTGATGGGCTTCGGCCGCCAGATGACCTTCTTCAAGTGTTTCAAGGTAAGATTCGAGCAGGGCTGCTGCTGCTCACTAAAAGAATCGCGGCCGGGAGGAAAATGTACTTTGCTGTCTGTATGGCGCCACAGACGCGTTGTGGCGACGATGTGTGAAGATGTAATGCCTTGTTGTGTCGCTATTTGGATATTCTATTTCCATGTGAATCTCCACTCACACCTTCACCGTGCGTCTGTTTACTCAGGAGTCCAAGCTGGAGGCGTGCATGAAGAAGTCGTTCCGCGAGGACTACCTGCCCATGCTGGTGGAGGAGAACCTGCCGGTCGACGAGGACGAGAGCTTCTACACCATCATCACGACGGCCATCATCGGCGAGAAGGAGTCGTTCGAGTAGGTCCCGGTCTGGGGAGGCGCGTCACAGACGCAGCAGCAGCCGCGGGGCGGTCGGCAATACTCATATTCACCGGTGTTCTGTCTCACACACGCGCAGCCGCCGCGTGCTGCCGAGCTGTGACGGTGACCAGAGGGGATCCTCTGAGACCGGTTACCGGCGGCAGCACACGCGCACTATCCCGGTGGCATCTCTCTGTTCGCCAGTATTCAATAAACGGTCAGTTGTGTAACGTGTACAATGTCAATAAAATGTAATAAATATATTCCGTCCTAGCGAAATAAACGAAATAACTATTTGTCTGTGAAGAATGATGTCAACCCAACGCCAATCTAGATGTCAACGTCGTTCATCGGGCGTGTGAAGCTCAGAGGGTATCTTTGCGCGGAAACATTCCATTTTTATTTATACCTTCCTCAGTTAGGTACACCTTCAGTTCGCAAACTTTGCCTCATGCCAACGATGCCAACATGTTTGCGTCCACCAGCTGTCACCGTAAGAAGCCTCAATATTTTATGCTTAGCCAAATTCATCAACTTTCCAACCATCAGTTTCCTCATAAATAGCATCGAATTAAAATATGCACATGAATTGATCTTCCAAAGGATAACAAATTTAAACGTGTTATACTTTGGAACACGTTTAACTACGGATTCTGGACGAACTACGTTGTCCAGAATTCACTGAACACCTCCTGTTAGTCCCATACACTGGATTGTGTCCGCTTTGCTGCATTCGCTGGCCAACTGACGAACAAGCGGCATTTGCAGCAAAGAGCAAACAGCAGCAAACACTATTTGAAGGAGATTTCAACAATACACTCGATACTAACACCGCGGGTATGGTGATTGTAACAGAACACACGAAACTTACGTATAAGCCGTCTTGTCGACGATGGAAGCTTATAAGTGTCGGCACTTAAAAGTCTCCACATCCTGTTGCTATATATCACGAGATATGGAGACTGTAGCAGTACACGCGACACTAACACTACGGGACATGGAGACTGCAACGTAACACACAACACTAGCATAACTTGCAAGAGACTTCAACATAAGATACGATGCTAACACCACGGGATACGGAGACTGCAGCAACACACAGGACTGTAGCATCACGGGACATGAAGATTGCAACAGTGCACACGACACATACACCACGGGACATGGAATCCACAGCAGTACCTACACAACAGAAGCACGATGGAGACCAAGTGCAATACACATGAAACTGGCAATACGGGACATGGAGACTGCAAGAGTACACTGTCTGCACAGGACACTAGCACCATAGGAAGGAGACTGCAACACTTCACACGACACTAGCACCACGGAGCATGGACACGGAGACAGCAACGTAACACAAAACAACACTATCACAACTTAAAGTAGACTTTAACATAGCACACAGCACTAATACCACGGAACATTTAGACTGCAGTGGTACACAGTCACAGCACCAAGGCCATATACTAGGCACAACATCCAGGGGCACAACACTAGCTAAACGGGACGTTCATACAGGATAGCAGAACACACGACGCACTACACCACGGAATGTGGAGACTGACATGCCGCTGGAGTTTACGCGACACCTTGCGCGACACTAACACCAAGTTTTTTTGTTTTGTTTTGTTGGGTTAGGCCCTTTCGGTCCAATTAGACCATTTCAGAGCCGGAAGGATGATAGGAATTAGGGGGAGACATTGGTCTGGTCTGGGCAGGCACCCTAGAGAGTCGCCGGGGCTGAGCCCGTCCAAATGGACAGGCCGACCAGCCCCCCCCCCCCCCCAAGCACTCTCTGCACCCGGCTACGGGGTGCGCTCCCTCGGGAGCAGCGGTGGCCGGTGCCGCTCCAAGGGAGCAGCCCGCATGAGATAAAGTTGCCTGTCCAGCCCGGAGGGGCCGTTGCGGCGTTGGGGAGAAGGACTTCAGTATCCTGAGGATAGTAGAAGGCTAGAAGCACCGGGAACGGTGTTGCCTGTGCCCTGGGACTGACTATTTATAGTCACCGTGGGGCTGACCACTGGCGACTGAAGACCACGACCGGCCGAACTTATATCGCCTTGCCCTGGGGCACTATCGATTCGAGGTGACCACCTCCGCTCGGCGTGCGGTGTGCCGGTTAGTCTGCCGGGAATTTCAGTGGCAAGAGGTTGTGTCAGTGGTGAGGTGACGTGACGCACTACATCAAGTGCGGCCGAGAGTGTTGGTGAATGGCGAGGGCTCGAAAGCAGCGGTTTCAGAATCGATGTGCAGCTCAAGATACCTATAAGAAACGTGCAGCTTGCAAGCAGCGAGTGGTGGAGTGGAACATCCCGCCTGTTCATCCCTTGCAATTAGGTAATCTTTTTCATTCCCTCATTTCTTGGGTTGATTGGGGGCGGCGGCTGAGGGTATCGCCATTGAAACACTTGGTTCAAACCAAACTTGCTTCACGGCTCTCGCCCTCGAGACGCGGGTGCCGGTGCGGGGCTCCTTTTGTCCGAGGGGTGCAACCAGTTGGCTCCGGCCATCTAGCGATAGAGTACCTATCACTGATCTGCCTCCATTCAGCTAAATCGCCAACAAGGGCTGAATCAGGTAGCGGCTGGTGCCCTCCTCACCATCGTTATCACTTATCTATTCCCATTACTTCTTCCGGTCGGTCTGGTCCCGTCCAAACACTTGTGTTGGACGGGATGGTGTTGCTGGCGTAGGTGAGCGAAATCAAGAGAAAATCGCGATGGCATTGACAATTAGCTTTTTAATCTTTTGCAAAAATTACGTTTCTAAGGGTGCTACAAATGTTTGAATTCCTAAATCAAAAACAATACTGATGTTGGAAACATTCAAAGCTGCCCAGCGCTTAACTTTACATGAAATTAATTTAGCAGCGGAGTTCAACAGCCCTCCCAACCAATAACTGCGCACATCTTGCAAACGTGGCGAAAAACTCTCGCGCGACACAAAACGGCGCATCCAGCTGGTTCTATTCTCCTCTCGTGGTTGTTGTTGGAGTGTAGGTAAGTTCATAATATTTATTTATCTGTCTGCTAATTTCATCAAACGGCATTGTTATTTTACTCATATTATATGCCACTGTTTCTGCCTCAAATACCACATAGAATCTTTTGATAGGTGGCTCACAACTGAAGAATGCATTGAATACAAGTTTTATTTTCGTATTGTTTGGCAGACACGTGTCTACTGTTATTAATGCTTCAAGTAATTGAAACACTTGCTTTATAAGTTAACATTTAATATGATGCTTATTGTTGAAGAAAAGTAAAATTTTAGGACATGGGATATGTCTCAATATTAAACTGTCAAATTCAAACAAATAAGAGATGAGGCATGCATTTCATCTTGAGGTGTATTTGAAAGTGACTTTTTGACCACAATTGCTGTATATCATTGCTTCAGTATGCTGCATAGGTTTAGCAGCAAAAAATATCAGTGAAATATCCTTAAATGCATCCCATTCTGTCGATCTCGTTTGGTTTCGAATAAACAAGTAATTGTTGAGGTGTCAATTGTCAATATTGTCTGTTTTCAGCCATGGCGCGAGGCCAGCAGAAAATTCAGTCACAACAGAAGGCTCAAGCTAAGCAGGCAGCTGCCAAGAAACAGGCTGGCCACAACCTAAAGGAGCAGAAGAAGGCTGCGGCTGCTGGCCTCTCCTACAACTGTGACATTTGCAAGGTTAGTAACTTATGTTAGCTAGCCAGCAATTGAAACCTGCTATTGTGCTGTTGGGATTCTGATGATTTCAAGGATTTTCCTCTCATCTCTGCCTCAAAATTGCATTGTAAAAATGTGAGACTTCTCTTGTGCTAGGAAACCCACTAATATCCCTAATCCCTACATATCCCCAATCCCTAATTCCCTACAATGTAGACTAGTTGCTGCAAGTGGAGATTGACCCCACGTTTGATGTCTCTCGTACGACGAAGATTCTACGTCGTCCAGCCAATCCCGTTCAAGTTCAGCGGGGGCTCGGCTGCGGCCATGGAACGTGATTGGCGGGACGACGTAGAATCTTCGTCGTCCCAGAGACATCGAACGCGGGGTGAAGGACTTATATGAGACCTTGTTGGTTCATGAATAGATCATTGTCAAACTTTTCTATCAGAGCATATGTTTCATTAAGTGTCCAGGGGTGGACAAATGTACCGAGATGGGGTAGCACGGGCGCAGCATATCGTCGCCGCATTAGCGGTGACCTTTACCTCCGCCGTCTGTTGCGGCTCCAAAGCCAAGCCGGCGTGGAATTGGGAAAGCTCGTGCTACGCCAACTCGGCACAATTATCCACCCCTGTATGTGTCCTTCAATCACTAATTAAGTAAAATAAAAAAATTAGACACAATGTTTGGATTTTGGCATAAGGAAAAAAGTCGTGTGTCAATTTCAGTTTGTTGTGTTTTTCACATAGAGATGTAATAGTGTTTTTTGTTTTTGTTGGAGGATATTTGTTCAATATTTTTCAAAATAAGTTGACCTAAGTTGTTCAATGAGTGGATTGACAGTCATAAGTCAAACCTAAGCTCAGCAGAGTTTGTATCACAGACCCTAACACCTTCAGACGGGTTTATCGGGCAATTCTGGACATTTGGAGAACTAAGATGGTTAAGTTAAGGGTGCTCATCAGTCTTCACAGCTGGGGCCTGGGCATGATCCATTTCGCTCAGCTGACGGGAGTACAATGCTGTACCAACTTAGATATACTATGAGTGACTTATTACTAAATGCTAGCTCAAGCTTTTAATTTCGGTTTGCTTAGAGAGGATTATCCTTTGAAGCAGGTGCCATTTTAGCATTGGACAAGCCTTTTGAAGCCATCTGAAGTAAATATTTGTAGGTATATTGTATACTTACGCACAGGTTGTGCTCTTCAGGGCTACGGAGTCGGAGTCGAAATCGGAGTCGGAGTCAGTCGGAATGGACAGTTCTGCGCGGAGTCGGAGTTGGAGTCGGAGTCGCCAAAATCTTACCTGCTCTGACTCATGAGTCGGAGTCGACATTTCATGACTCAAAGTCATGCTCAATACCCGTTAGATGTCAAATCTTAGATTCATTTGCCTTTCCAAGACAGATCTTGTCGAAGCTAGACCCTTACTCGTGTTTTTGACAGGCTTTTTAAGCGTAAAAAGCAGAAGACTGTGGTTGCCTCACAACCTGCCTGTAGTTCAATGATTATTTATACTTGTGTTTGCAATATGAGGCCTCGGAACGCGCAAAGGATTATTTTAGACAGGCTAAAAAAGCGTCTCCGTCTTGAACTTTACTACCATGGCGATGTCCGGAGTGGGAGATAGAGCCAGAGTCGCAGTCACCGAAAGGCTATGGACGCTGGAGTCCTGGTGCTCTTATAATATGAAGCTTATATTATGGTACCTATAGTGGAAAGTGGAGTTGACAAATCATGTTATGGAGAAAGGGGTGCACACTGCATATTTCGGGAAAAATAGAACCATAAGAAAGGGAAATATTTACAGCGACGGGGCGTCATCAAAAATATGTCTTCTTTCCTGGCATATTGCACTTGCCGGCCAACGCATCGGCATGCCTGCCCCATTGAGGTCTTTACCGCAACCTCGTTTCTTGTGGTCTGCATCTACGAACATTGGACGGAGTACGATAAGTCCCTGACAAAACTTGCTTCTGTTTCAGTCGCAAATGCCGGACCCGAAGACCTACAAGCAGCATTTTGAGAGCAAGCACCCCAAGAACCCGCTGCCGGAGGCGCTGAAGGACGTTTAGCCCGCGGCGCTCTGGTGACTGGGTGTGCAACAGGCGCTGCGCACACCCGGTCCGCCGGGGCGGTTGGGTGGTGCTCGCGCCGGAACAATGAGTGCGGTTGTGGAGCGGGTCGGGACCGTGGCACGGTTATCGTCGGTGTTTCGTCGGTCGGCTTCAGCGGACCTTTGTGAATTCGGGTCCATATTGATTCGAATTGGTGATGACGTGTTTATCCTGTTTTTTTTTTTTTCATTCTTGTTCGCTTCTCTCAAAGTATATTTATCTTGTTCAGTTGGCAGTTCAAGTGATCTGAGGTATGGTTCATTGCATAACAATACCTTCTAATTCTCACGGTATGTGCAAGTTCCGTGTCAGGGATCCATTATTCGCGTATTTGAATGTATACCTGATACCTCTCACTTGAGACTGCGTCCAGCTGCATATACTGCATCAATCCATTCACGCGACAACGATACCATTTCCCTCGGTATACACTCACATGACATGATGAAATAAACGATGATAAATGTGACGTGTTTTCGCGGTAGTTGTCAAGGAAATCAACCGAGCACATGGATTGGACGTTCAATAAAATAAACTCTTCGAAGCACGATGCCAGTCAAAGACATGCCAATCGCCATCTGTCCTGAATTATGGCTAATCGAAGATTGCCTGGAATTTTAGGCTGCATTTTTGAACTTCACCCACAGTTCAGACTTCAGTACACTTTGCACTGGTGAAACACTATGCTGTATTGTAGTTCAATATTTTACGTGAGCCGCCGCGAGCCGGTTATCATCCCCATAAAGCTTGGGATGAAAAGACGTTGCGATAAGCAAAATTGAAGACATAAACCGAGAGATTATTCAAGATAGACAAACCAACATAGTCTGTATATCTATGCCACAGGGCGGAGCAATGCCGCTTCAACCCTATTGGCCGTAGTGTCTAACGGTGGCGGCCATATTGCGCAGACCAGAAACCGGCTGCCGCCTGTGTTGAGGAATAGGGAATTCGGGACCTCGATTTACGTTTGCGGCCGCCGTATCCGTTACGTTCAAGTTACGTAGATACAGAACCCGGCATCTTACGCAGAATTGAGTGGGGAACACGATCGTATCTTCAGAATTCCTCAAATTTACTCGCCTGACCTACATTTGCCCCGGCCGAGGGGGTTGATTGAACCCACCTCGCTAATGCACCGCTAATTAAACTAGAATTAAGCGGTAAAGTGGTCGTGTGCGGCAAAGTATAATGCAGAGTGACTGGTAGGAACCCGCTGTAAGGGTCTCAGGTCAACCGGTGACCTCTGAGGTCAGTTCAAGTGATCTAAGGCACGGGTTCGGTTTTTGGTAAATAACTTCGCCAAAAATGGCTGTAGAGCCGCGATTTTGGCATCATCGTGTTCAGCTAGCTCAGGCGCATCGAGTGATATACTTTTTGTTCGGGTCAGGTCAACTTAGGGTGTTGACCTCAGGTCAAGGTCAGGTCAGCACCCCTAGGTCACGAAGTTGGTCGAAAGAGGTCATGTCGCATATCATTCGATTCGGCAGGTCTTGCTGTGTCCATTGGTGGCTTTCCCGACTCGCTAGCTCAATTTGATCGGGAGTTATTGAAGAAAAATGGTGACCCTTGTGACGTCACAAATGACGTCACGCAAGGGCAACAATGCAAATATGAAGCATAGAACCTTGCAAAGAGTGCATGAAATCATGATTTTATATGCTTGAGATAGTTTCAGATCATCCTCGGCGCCAGAATAACAATTTTCATATTTCCCCATTGACTTATAAGGGTTTAACGTATTAGTTCCTTATAGCTGATGATTTTTTAGGATTTCATCTTGTTCTCCACTCAATTCTGCGTAAGATGCCGGGTTCCGTGTCCACATAGCTTGAGCGTAACGGATGCAGCGACCGCAAACGTAAATCGAGGTCCCGAATTCCCTATTCCCCAGCACAGGCGGCGGCCGCTTTCTGGTCTGCGCAACATGGCGGCACCGTTGGACACCATTTGGCGGCCGATGCGCATTCCACATTATAGAGTTCAGTGATCTATGCAAACCAACAACACATGACGTCATACTCTAGCGCAGATTGGCGGGTAATTCAAACGTAAACAAAGAATTCGATAACCTTGAATTTGTTATTTCGATTCGTGCAGATTCGTGTGCCGTGTGCGTCTTTTTTTTGTCACGGCGGAACGGAATTGAGCAAGTAAACCAAAAACTTTTGTATTTTCCTGTAAAATCATTCTGTTTCATGTCTATTTAATGTGCTTAATGTGTTTCTACTGATCTTTCCTTGAGCATTACACATGTTTCACATCCCTATTTGATGATAAAGCGTGGACTTGTCAGCGTCAGAAAGCAAATTGAAATCCACCAGACGAGCACTGAATAATAATTGTAATTCGTCCGAGCAACATTGAACGGTAAGCAAGTTTATCATGCATTGCATTTTGCTTCATTTTCCAGCGGTTGCTTATATTTACTTCTATAATAGTCGCGTAGTTACTTCTGGTTACTTCTATTATACTCACGGGGCTTATAAATTGAAAGTAAGCCTTTCAGAACAAGCGATGTTTGCCAGATGTTTGCCGACTTGGATAAAATCCATGGCATTCACAGCCTTTCACATTGGATAGGTAGGTAATTGCCGACACCAAAACAAACTTTGGAACGAATCACCGGTCATGAAGGTACTAGGTACTTAGGTACCTGTTTACCAGTTTATCCAGATTGAGATCATATCGAAATCTTCCCAAGCTCCATTCTGATTCATCTCTTCCTCGGCATCCATTTCTATGCGGCACGTCATCAGTAGGTGTCCATTTCGAACCTCTTGCAGCAGTAGTTTGACTGAATCACCTGACACCTGATGCACCCAGGCGATGAGGTCGCAGACCCTCTGAGGGGCGGCAGACGAACCTACCTCGGACGGCATAACGCCCCGTCATCGTCTGACGTCAGTGCTGTGCGGACGGGACATCGGGTCGCATCTCCGTCTCCCGAGCGCCATGTACTCCCGCTCCAAACGCGGCAGCAACTTCCTTCAGGAGTCTGAGCGGTCGCTGCTGCGCTCGCGCCGCGACACCGCCTGGCAGAACGAGCTGGCCTCCCGCAGCCAGTTGCAAGCTGTCTTCTCTTCGTCGCGGGCGACGGAAGCGACCAGGACTGGTGCGGCGGCGCGGACGACCGGGGGCCCGTCCGCAGCTGCGGCGCCGGCCGCCGGCGGGGCCCAGGAGGGCGGCCCGGTGACCCAGCGTGGCTCGGTGGCGGACACCGTGCGCCGCCTCTCGGACCCGGTGCGCCGCAAGTCGAGCGGTCTGCCCGAGTCGCAGTCAGGCCTGCTGCCCAGCGCCAGCATGGGCCCGCTGGCCTCGGCAGGTGCGCTCTGCGCGCCCACGTGCCTGGACGCCTCCTGCGTCGCCGAGCTGCTGGCCGAAGGAGGGCCCGTTCCAGGTTGCTGGTGTGTTCGTTGCTAGTGGGAGGGGTCGCGAAAATCCATCCAAATAACTCGTTTCGTAGGCCTATTTAACATGTACTGGATTATACGCTGACGTGATTACTTCAGTGAACAACTTATAAGCGCATTGCATGACAAACGTATTCCATTCCTTAGAAGTCAAATATGATATGTAAGATAAGAAGAAAAAAAGAACAGGTGGGCTTCTCGATTATCAAAGTGGCAATGCTGTCGATCGACCCGCCATTCACCGGCAGAAAGGATTGACGTCAATTCACGATATTGCTGGCTAAATTATTCTTAAATGTCTTTAGTTTCTGCAGCCATTGCAGCGACGTATCGTGCGTGATTGTTTCCCGTTTTCAGTACGGTTCAACGCCATAAATGAAGACGATGTCGTGCAGTTTCTCAACGCTAACCCAGAGACGATCTCTCACTATGTCAAGGAGTATGTCGACGTTCCAACTATCAAGGTTTGTGCTAATTTATTTCCGATCACTATGCCTTTATCCGCCTATCTAAGGCCTTTACATCCCTCTAGATTGTTTAGGTGAAATTCGTAACACGTTTCGAGCTCAATATTTATCCGAAGTGACATGTGACGGACGGTGATGAATTTCTGTCGCTATAGAAATATACATAAATTGCTACCCTTATGCTAATCCTGATGGCTGATAAATCATACACCCGCTCATAAAATTTATTACGCCATCTTACTCTCACAAAACCCCACCTGCCATTCCCACCCATCCAGACAATCCATTCCGCCCCGCCGTCCTGACCCACCTCCTCTCCGGCGGCGCCGCAGGGCTGGCTGTCGGCCAAGTCGTCGGGGGCGGTTCGCACGCTGGTCGCTCCGGCCGGCCACCACAGCACCTACGGTGAGGCGGCCGCCGAGACGCTGCGCCGCCACCTGCTCGACGAGGCCTCGCACCCGGACCACACGCCCCGGCTGCTGCACGAGCTTGCCAGGGTGGCCGCCGTCGCTGTCGGCGCCGATGGTACGTCGGGAAGGGGGGGGGGAGTTGTGTGCCCCCCTCTCGTATGTGGGGAGGGGGCGCCTAGTCGGGCAATTCGCTATCCATGTGTGCTCATGTTGAGACAGGGGGGGGGGGAGGGGCAGGGTAGGCTATATCTATCGTCGCCGATGCGCTGGAGGATTTCTATTTTATTTTAAATACGAGCCGACGCAGACGTTTACTTTTCGCCGCTCATTGATAATTTTTCTTAGCAATTAAATTAGCAGTATCGGACGGAAGCGAAACGTATGCTCAATCCACTCGGCTGGGCTTATTCTGAACATATGGCTTGCTCGATTTGGAATAATCTTGGTGTTTTTTTTTTTGCGGGATGGGCAGTTGTTATCATTGCCAGTGTCAGTGAAATGGGTGAGCAGCAGTTCGTACACATTGCCCCCGGCCGGCGTACTTGTAGCTAAGTTTTCTTGGTCGTAAATACGGCTTTATTACTGTCTAACCGCGCGTAAATAAAGATTTCGTACTGCCGTGAGTATAAACGTCCGTATATTTATCTACTGCGGCGTAAATAGAAGAAACCGTGACCTGACCTGTCCCGCAGGGTTCACCCTGTTCCTGATCGACTCCAAGCTGAACGACCTCATCGAGTACACACCGGGCCGGGACGACTTCGTCCAAACAAAGGCATCCATCAAAATAGGTGGGCTAGTTCAAACTCGCGACTGAATAGTAGATGCCTTGGGAGGATGATGATGTGTATTTAGTATTTAGCTGCACCTACGAATTATCCTCGTATGTTGTCCTCTCACTCCACTCTCATTTCAATAGCCGGTCTACACAGCCGGCCGGTCTCCGGTGTCGGTCGGTCGCTCGTCGCCACCCCGTCAGTCCTCCCTCCCATCCCCACCTCTCCCCTCCTCTGGTGACCTCCCCCCCCCCCCCCTCCCGGCGCCTCCAGTCGACCGGGAGACGCCGTCGGCGCTGGCCGCCGCCACCGGCGAATCGCTCACCGTCGAGTCCATCACCTGCGACAAACGCTTCCCGCACGGATTCGGGCCGGGCGTCTCCGAAAAGGTAGGTGTTGGCTGGTAGCTGTGCGCCGAGTGGTGGGCCTGTCAGGGTGCATGGTGAACTACGACTTCAAGGTAAAGTCGGGACTTTGCTTGTTTTTTTTTTGTCTGTCTGTCTGTCTGTCTGTCTGTCTGTCTGTCTGTCTGTTTCTTTGTCTGCTGTCGCCTGCTTATTTGTTTTTGTACGATCCGATTCTTTTAGTGTAGTGAGACCATCAATTATTTGGTTTTGCTGGGATACGCTCTTTGAGTCTAATGATATCTGCATTTCAGGGCCTCGGGATCGGATATCAGGATCTGGGAGAGGAGGGGGGGGGGGGGGATAGAAGGGGAGCGTAATTGGTACGGGCGGCCACCATAGTGCGCTGCCGCGGCGGTGTTCGGCCCGAGGGATAGGCCACTCAGCTGCGCTAACGGTCACCGGCTCCGCAACGGAGTATGGTCTGAGAGAATCTACTCACGTCGAATAACAGCGATTGTACATCATGATCGTCCATCAAAGCAGTGACATTCCATCCCGGGACAAGGGGACGGGTTTTGAGAAATAAGCCGTGACGTGTCCTGATAATTGATAAGAAGGATCAATTTTCGAGGGCGGGACCACCACCATGTACCCTCCCCGCCCTCAGGACCGATAGGCCCTAGTGCTTCCTTGGGGTACCGTGTGATACGGTATAAGTACTATACATACGGTGTATTTTACTCTCCCAGTCACAAGGGTCGGTGGCGACGCTGGTGGCACCATATGTTGCCTTGCGGTTCTCTACCCCGTACCCTGCCCGGGGCCGATCGGCTCTGAGTGCTACCTATGATACGTCAGAGGGTGGTACAGAGGGTCTGTGATGCAGTGCTGTACCCTGTAGGCCTGTGCGCTGTAGCCTCCCCAGGACCAGTCGGCGATGGTGGTAGTAGTGGTACCATATAGTGTTGTGCTGTTCATATCCCCAGGACCGATCGGCGCTGGTGGTGCCCCTGCCCGGTCTGGCGGTACTGGAGCTGCGCCGCGGCGTGCACCACGAGCCGTTCGAGCCCGGCCACCTGGAGGCCGTGAACGCCATCCTGGTGTGGTTCAACATCGCCATCAACCGGCTACAGGTGGGCAGGTGCCGGCCGTAGGATGCACGGAAGAACCGGGGGTCGTAGTCAGCACCAGCCGGTCGCGTATCCAGTTACCTTGTGTCTAACCGTGAACTTTGTTAACTCTTAAGGTGTTTAAAGCTACGCCGATTTTTATCTGTCACAATCAGTACCCGCGCCCCAGTTGCCACTTTGACCTCTATCTTTCGTCGCTTTACACCCCGTCCCCCTTTCCGTCTCCGTCGTCAGCTGAGCGAGGTGCTGCAGCACCAGCAGGAGCTCAACTCGTTCCTGCTGGAGGTGGCCAGCGCGCTCTCCGACGAGCCATTCGGCCAGGAGGCGCTCATCTCCAAGGTGATGCTGCAGGCCAAGGCGCTGGTGGCCGCCGAGCGCGTCACCTTCTTCGCCATGGACGAGGAGAAACACGAGCTGTACGCCTCACTGTTCGATGACGGACAGGTGGGTGTAACGTGATGTCTGTGGTGGGGGAGGTGGTGGCATGACTTACGCTGTCAGTGCTCTTCAGACAGATGATAGAGAAAATATGGTCTCCTTCCGGCTCCGAAGGTGCCAGCATGCGGTGTGGAACCATAATGCGTGACCCAGTCCACCCTTCTTTTTTAGCTCCCCCCTCTCTCTCTCTCTCTCTCTCTCTCACTCACTCACTCACTCACTCACTCACTCACTCACTCACTCACTCACTCACTCACTCACTCACTCACTCACTCACTCACTCACTCACTCACTCACTCACTCACTCTCTCTCTCTCTCTCTCTCTCTCTCTCTCTCTCTCTCTCTCTCTCTCTCTCTCTCTCTCTCTCTCTCTCTCTCTCTCCGTCGCCCTCGCCCCCTCCCTCCCTCTCATCCTTTATCGTCCACCGCTAAACCATCTCCACTCTCCGTCCTCCGACAGACCATCAACGGCTCGCCGGTGCTCAGTAAGCGGCACGAGATCCGCTTCCCGGCCGAGCGCGGCATCGCCGGCCACTGCGCCCGGCTGGGCCAGGTGGTGAACGTGCAGGACGCCTACTCGGACCCGCGCTTCAACGCCGAGGTGGACCGCAGCACGGGCTACCGGTCGCGCAGCCTGCTGGCCGTGCCCGTGAAGGCGCAGCACCGTCTGCTTGGCGTCCTGCAGGTGGTCAACAAACTCGGTAAGCTCGACATGAGGATGAGAAAATGGCACGCGGGGTGGACAGGACACAAACACACGCGTTGTTTATATTCGACGCTGAGTAATGCGTATGACGAGTTATTTGCGCCGTTTGCGTTTGGCGGCGGGCGGGCGTATTTTTATAGTTCTAAGTTCCAACCTTCGGATCCGCAACGCTACTCGAAAAGCGCTGCCCGGGCCTAATACGTATGGCGAGTTCCTAGACGGGCGTTTGGGCCACACTGCTTACTTCGCAATTAATTTGCGTCGTCGTAAGATTGACTCACTGTGTGTCTTTACTGTGCGCCAGACGCCGACTGTTTCTCGGAGACGGACGAGGCCTCCCTGAAGATGTTCGGCATCTACTGCTCGCTGGCGCTCTCGTTTGGCGCACTGCACGAGCGAGGTCAAAAGAAGGTATGCACGCAGGTGTCACAGCGCTACCAAACCAGACCAGGCCAGACCGGTCGGCTACTATAGAGCGGCGGGACCGGTTTTTACAGTGGCTCGTAAACAGGAAACCGATATAACGGAAATGGGATCAGTGACTTCAATTGATGGGTTGCTTGTTAGACTTCCTATGAATAATTTTAATCCATGTCATTTTACCGGCAATTATTTCTAAAATCCTAAATAAATGGGGGTTGCGAAGATTTCTGCCCGACCGAAAGTCACGTGGCCTGACCTGACCTCAGGACAATCAGCTGAGCGTGGCCCTGGACGCCCTGGAGTACCACACGACCGCCTCGCCGGCGGAGCTGAAGAAGTACATGGAGCAGCCGCTGCCGGCCTCCATCCCCGACTCGTTCGACACGTGAGTTGGTGCGCTGCTCTGACGCGGCACTGACGCCGCTCGGGATCAGCGGGATGTTAACGGCAAGTCGTCGGCGGTGCGGCGGCGGGGCTGGTTAATACTCGTGACTAGTTGAAACTCGCGCAACTTCTTCATTCAGATTTCCAGCTCGCCACTGCCGCCCCTTCCCAATATCCGTCATGTCTGGGCTCACTGTTTTTCTTGCTTCGCTTCCCTTTCCCAACAGGCATCAATACTACCCGGTTCCTGATCATGTGTTACCTGAACTGTTTTTATCCAGTTTCCTGACATGCCTCCTGTCCCTTGTCCCGTCCCACTCCGACCAGGTTCCGCTGGGCGCCCGAGCCCAGTCACGACCTGAGTCGGCTCTACCTGCACATGTATTTCGACCTGCTGGGCGAGGGCGCGTGCGGCGGCGCCCCGGAGCGGGTGGTTACCTTCACGACCACGGTCATCAAGTCGTACCGCCGCGTGGCCTACCACAACGCCACGCACGCCTTCATGGTGGCGCACACCATGTACAATATCCTGAAGAGGAACACCAACGTCTTCAGCCGGCTGGAGGTCGGCAGAGGGGGGAGGGGGGAGGGGAGGACGGCGTTTATAAGGCAGGATTGTTTAATACACTGGCTGAGAAATCTTTAGATTTTGGTCTCATCCGTCGGCCACGCTATCGTGTCGCACACGTCTCTTGGCAAACACACTAATTGCCATTGCAATCATGCGATCCCGAACTTGCCAACGTTTACTCTCATTTTCTTCTTTGCGACAGGTCTCTAGCCCCGTTTCATTGCCCGTGTGAAACCTGACACCCTCCCGTGCCCTCAATCCCCGTTGTTCCGAGTCACCCCATCCTCCCAGATCCTGACCTATCCCTTCTCCCCATCCAGCTGCTGTCACTACTGGTGGCCTGCATCTGCCACGACATCGACCACCGCGGCTACAGCAACACGTACGCCAAGGCGGCCACGCCGCTGGGCGGCCTCTACAAGGCGTCGGTGATGGAGAACCACCACTTTGCCACGGCGGCGGCGGTGCTGCAGCGGCCCGGGCACGACATCCTGGCCGGGCTGACGGCAGCCGACAGGAAGGAGGTGCGTACTGCGTACAGACGGATCGGCGCGTTATAATTGTGGACGGTTATATCGATAGACGGATGGACGGAACGGTGAACATAAGGAACGGTATATGTAGTTAGACTTTCAAATGACCTTTTCCTCGATAATTAATTAAAAATGCAATAAAAAGCAAATATTATATTGTTTGGCAAATTTTCGAACAACAGTTCATTCTCAAGCCACATGAAACAATTGACAATTGTTGACAATTGACAATTGTTGTCAATTCATTGACAACAATTGTCAATGAATCGACATTAAGTCATTGTTAAGTCAATGAATTAAGTCATTGTTCATTCTCAAGCCACATGAAACAATTGACAATTGTTGACAATAATGAAACAATTGACAACAATTGTCAATTATTGACAATTGTTGTCAATTGTTTCATGTGGCTTGAGAATGAACTGTTGTTCGAAAATTTGCCAAACAATATAATATTTGTTTTTTTATTGCATTCTCAATTAATTATCGAGGAAAAGGTCATTTGAAAGTCTAACTACATATATCAAGATGTTCCTCGCTAGAGCGATTCATACTATTTCTTCATAAGGAACGGTAGATGATATGGAACGACTCTTTACTTCATGGGCAACGGCGCAATTATCGTTGCTGTCCCTTTGAATTGCAATATAAAGCTGACGTGACCCCGAGCGGTTTGCAGAAAATCCGGCACTGTCGCCGTTACACCGTCCAGCTTATCGATCGTTACGGTATCGTTTTCTGTGTATTCATTTTTCAGCGATATATTTGTGTTCGTCTGATGATAGAGCAGTTTTGCGACTGGTCCGTCGTTCGCCACTAGGTGGCGCTTCTGTTCCACGAGCGCTGGATGGTCGTATCTCTCTCAGTCAGAGAAGACGTCCAGTCACTTGAGCTCAGCTCCCTCAGCTGCAATGTCCATCTTTGAGAACGATGTCTGAGCTCAAGTATTTCCCATGCAATAGTGTACCAGCCGAACTACTTGACCGACATCCGGCATCCCTCAGATGCCGGACCAGATGTATGTACGAGTATGAGGATGTACTCCGTAGTACTCGTACATACACAGTTGTCCTCTGACCTGATCAGACCTCTGACTCATCCCCTCAGGTGCTGGACCTGATGTACGAAGCGATCATCGCCACTGACCTCGCCGTGTACTTCCAAGTTCGGCCGAAACTGGAGTCGGCCATGACCGGCCAGTTCAACATGCACCAGACGGAACACAGGTCAGCTGAAATGGAGCACACGTCAGACACGGAACACAGGTCAGAAATGGAGCACATGTCAGACACGGAACACAGGGCAGAAATGGAGCACATGTCAGACACGGAACACAGGACAGAGACAGAACATACGTTAGACACGGAACACAGGTCAGGGACGAAACACTTTTTGTCTATTTCTTTCCCTCGCTCACCGCCGCTTGAACCATCGGCTGATACCGTCCTTGCCTCCCCGTACTTTCTCCAGACGGTGGTTCTGCAGTGTGATGATGACCGCCTGTGTGTCTCCCCCCCCCCCCCTCCCTGTACTCTCTCCAGGCGGTGGTTCTGCAGTGTGATGATGACCGCCTGTGACCTGTCGGCCGTCTGTAAGGCCCCAGAGGTGGTGCTCGAACACACTCTCGAGCTGTACGTCGAGTTCCACGAGCAGGTGAGGAGGCACACACGTGTGGGGCGGAGCTCTGACAGAGGGCACCTGTGTAGGCCGGCTCAGTGCTAAACACAGACAGTCATGGGTATGGGACGACGGTAATTGATGCCGGCTGTGGGGTTAATACGGTAGTGCCTGAGCGGTACGGGTGACCAGTAATCACCTCGGCGACAGAAAGGCAGTGTGGTTTCGTTTAGTCGTTGCTGTGATGCCTTCTCGTTCTGGGCCCTGCTCGTGCTGCCTCACTCAGGCTTTTGTACTTATGTGAAGCGGCTGACAGATATGAACTGAACGGTCGGTATGGTAGGTTGAGTGGGTAATTTCATGTTTATCGGACTTACGTAAATTTCCAGTCAATGTAGCACGTACCCTTTTGTGGATGCATTGTGACTTTGAATATTTCTCGAAACGCGTCGGCGTTTTATGTATTCACATTCCCCGTTGGCAGTCATTTTAATGCTCTCACGTAAACGGCAGCTCGGCCTTTCAGCGATATCAGGATAAGTATAGGCTATAGCGCCCCACACCAGAGATTCGTTTGTTATTCATCGACCGTCTGCTTCCGGACGGCATACTGATGGAACCGACCGGCGACCCGCCGCCGCCAAGCCTAGCCGTGCCCACCACCGCCACCGTCCTGATCGGCTGCAAAGGTTTACGGGTGTAAGAACCGGCGCCGCATACCAGCTGCGTGCGTTTCAAGTGATTGTGGGATGTAATTCCAGCACGATGTAGTAGGTAAGAACTAGTGGCAGTATCGTCGGAACTCGTTTCCTGTCCTCCGTAAGCTTTTTCCCGACACTGACCCTTTCCACCATCCAGGGCGACAACGAGAAGAAGCGGGGCACCACGCCCGATCCCATGATGGACCGTACGAAGGCGCTCAACCTACCCAACGACCAGATCAACTTCATCAAGTACATCTGTATGCCGGCGTACGAGCTGATCTCCAAAGGCCTGCCTAACACCAACGAGATGCTCGTCAACGTCAAGTAAGCGTGGAATCGCTGCAGTTCATGCCTTGGTTTATCGATTTGTGACATACTCGTATTTTGCTTAAGTTTTGGTTGTGCTTTCGTAGATACAGGATAAATTATCTGTCAGATATAAAACATGCAGCTCGCCGATCAGCGTCGATCCGTGGTTCCCTGGGACCGCCAGTACCCAGCGCCCCCGTCCGATCATTGACATTCCTGGCTGTCTCGCCGCCCTCCCCACCACATAGGTGGCAGCACCTCATCCCGTATTCACCACCAGTCGTCCCACGACCGGATGTGTCACGTATTCGGCACGGTGGCGGCTCTGACGGACTATCTCTCGCCTCATCCACCGCCGCCCGGTGGTTCCGTACACAGTCTGTCGGCAGCTGTGCCGCTCCCACGCCACCCTGTCGCCATGTCATGTCGGTGCTGTGTTCTATCCCACCCCCCTCCCTTCTCCGGAACGGCCGCAGGCGCTTGTCTGAACGCCCCCCCCCTCGGTCGCAGGCGGACGCTAGAGTACTGGGCCGACCTGCGCACAAAAGACGCCAGCGTCTGGAAGCCGTACGCCAGCTGGCCCAAGCCGGAGCACCACGAGACGCGGCTGAAGCTGCCGCGGAGGCAGTCGAGTCGGTCCCCGTCGCCGGCCCGGCCGTCGGCAAAGTAGACGGTGGCTGACCGCGGTCCCAACAGCTGCCCAGCCAAGCAGCACTCTCGGACAGCCGCTCAGGACAGTTCCAGTTAATATTTCAGTTTGAACAGTGCGAGAACAATGTTCTTCAGATTTAATCGTGTGCAAGCGGTGTTATCAGAGTTTCAATGGCGCTTAAACGACATTTTTTAGAGTTCAAATAATCGTGTACGGAGTTACTAGGGACCATTTTTTTGCACTGTGCGCTTTTTGTTACTTTTCTACGTTATTCACGAATTACGCGGAAGAAGATTTCGGTAATGCCAAGCGATTTATTCTGCAATAAAACGTTAATTTGCCATCCTTATCTCAAAGTCCTACAGCACACAAATTTTACCACCAACTCAGCGCCTGACACTTCCAGAGAAGCTACACACTATGTACAGGTATACGCAGCAGATTAAACAGCTATGTAGGGTATCTGACTAACAACAGCTACGCGATTTACACATGAAATCACAGAGCGGTCGGCCGTGTACAAAACTAACCAAACAAAATGCGTCATCACGTTGCCCTCTGGCGATTTCCAGACGAGTTAACCAAACTCGCACTGGCACACGGTCTCACTCTTGCACTCCGCACGCGCAGGTGCGCGCCGCGCGCAGATCACCGCACTCTCTCACCTCCGCACCCACGGGAGCCACTCGGAGTTCGTCGGCGGCGGTGCCCAGCCGCCCGCTCTTGGCACCCACGCACTTGCCAGTGTAAAGTCAACTGATATAGGCACTAGTCAAGTCACCGGAATTTCACAGTAACACGGTAGAGACAGTTCCGACGATGCAGATCTATTTAATCCTGGTTCTGATCTTCCAAGAAGCCACATTAAGATAGATCTGAAAAGAAAAATCAATTATTAATTTTTCAACGATGCCAATTTCACACTCACTAACGCCTTGACATGCTATGACCATAGGCAATAAAGATCAGCGTTCTGATTTTTGCTGTAAGAGTTCTGAGTGGACCGAGAGTCCTGGTTAAAAATAATATGTTCCAAATTAATTACCAACAAATCCATTCAAATTACATGGACTGCGAAAAAGTTTAGGGGACACGAGTGAAAACGCCTCGCGAAGGCACATTCAGCGCAAAAATAGCCGCGAACTTTGTCCTCTGGACGACGAAAAAGGTCAGAGACGGCCGTTTGGCTGATAACGTCCCACACTTCAGGTTATCGGGCGCCCTCCAGCGTAATAACGGGATCTGCTCTCCCCTCCCCGGTTTCCAATTCCGGAGGCCCGCGCACAGGCCCCCGGTGCGGTCAAAAGCACCACCCTCCGATCGCAAAGCTCGCGCACCGCGACTGTCCGATCTAACCTGACGGAGCACGGAACATTGAACACGGAACATGGTATTGAACATTGAACGTGAACAGAATCCAAAGGAAGACTCGTCGAATATTATTACTCCCGTCATTTAAGTCGGGTCGGTTGGGCTTCGCCCACCGACCCGCATTAAAGCATGCGACATTACCCTCTTAAACCAATTTGCCGATTTCTGCTGAGCTCCGTTGACCACGTGCCGCCCCAGGCACATGCGATGACCCAGCGACAGCCGGCGGATTACATAAGCGCCGCGCTCGGTACCGGATCACCCGAGAGCGGCGGTATGGGGGGACGTCGGAGCTATATATTGACGTCAGTCCGGGCGGGCTGGGCCGCGTCCCGAAATGTCGAGCACGCTCGACTTTCGCACCGTAATTTCATCGGATGGCGCCGATACCCGGAATAGCTGGATCAGACTGCGGCAGACCACAGCCGCCACCAGCTCCGTCCCTCCCTGATATTGATCCCGGGAGTGAGCCATGCACTAAATGGAATGGACTAGCTACCGCGCCGGACAGCTGGGAACGCCGCTGATGGGGTAACAGGACACGGTACTCACAGCTGGGCGCCGCGCTGCTCTCGAAGTTCCGGACGATTTGGTCCTGTGTGAACTTCACAAACATGTCGTACTGCTCCTGCAGCTTGGTCGACAACACGTTGTCGTACTCCTCCCGTATGTGGTTCTCGCGCTCGCGCAGCATCCGCTCACAGATCATGCCGACCTGACGGGGAGAAGGAGGGACGTCAGCGCCGCTACACGATGTTACCGAACTCAGGAAGGACAGACACTTTTTAAAGCCACAATGCCAACAAAACATGACATTTGTCCAGTTATACTGCCTTGTTGGGCGTCGATAACTGGAAAGAAACAACAAAATTGGCAAGACAGCTGCTACAGTACACCTCCATCCTACACAACACTACTCGCTACTCAGGCCATCCAACTGACCCCTGCCGTTTGCTAACCCTCCCCTCTCCTACCTGTTTGAAGGTGAATAGCGGCTTGTCCGCCTTAGATGTGGTGGCCGCCGCGGTGGCCGAGCAGCCGGCGGCGGCGGAGGCGGCGGGCGCGACGGCCGACGCCGGACTGGGCGTGTCCGAGTCGCTGCTGCTGTCGGAGTCAACGCCGTGATACTGCAGCTGGCGGCGCCGGTGCAGCCGGCGGATCTCGTCTCGCACGCTCGCCGCGATCATGTCTGCCGGCGGAACGGTGACGGGTCAATGGGACGCCGATATCTGGTAAAAAGGAATATAATCACACTCATTAGTTCAATTACTAATAATCATGATGAATGAACACTAAACAATCAGTCGGGCCACAAAACAGTCAAATGGTAAACCATTAAAAGCTCGCATTTAAGAATCTAAATGCCTCTCCATTCAATTGATTGACAGTTGATTCATGTCATGAGGCCTGAGATAAGGGTTGTTTTTGCAAGGGCAAACCCTGGTTTGGAAAAAAAAGTCCATGAAAAGTTGTACAACTTGGTACATGAGTGAAATATATTAAGAATGCACCAGTGTCATAACTTGCTGTTTTCATATTCATGTTCTATGAAATGGTACTGGTGTGTTGTTACTACATACATGTACATGTAGTTACTTACTACATGTAGTTTATCTTTAAAAAATAGATCTATTCTTCTTTGTACATTTAGAATAATGCCCACAATTATTACCCTAAACATACTTATTACCAGTGTTTAAAGCATAAAAAATATTGCTGGGGGCAAGAGTGATCTACCTAAATAAAAGTTGGGAATGAAACAAAAATAATTTAGCAATAATGTCAGTAAATTAGGGTATCCCAACAGCATCATACTTCAGAATGATTTAACAAAAGCATCACCTAACACTTCTTTCAATTCACAAGCACATCAAAACATAAGCATGATCACAAATTGAACATGAACATAGGCAGTTAGCAGGCAACATCAGGTTGATAAGACTGCAGGCCTGACTAACTTTGAAACTTAGAATCAACACGTGGGCAATGATCTACAATGTTAATTAAATGTATTAATCCTTCAATAGGTACTGTACTTTCTTGCCATTTGATCAGCACACATGATGTTACACATGATTAGAAAAAAACTGGGCAATCTATCTGCATATCTGACCTTGAAAGGTACATAGGATACTGCAGCTGACAGACTTCCAAATGACAGAAAATGCAGAAATGTTATTACAGTGGAAAAAACTGCTCAACAACACCTCAAGCATGCATCAGATGAAGAGCCTGCAGACATTTCATGCTTACATAAATGCCAACGATATAGGTAATGTATGACAGTTGTTTCAGACACATTGCATATAAACACAAAAGGCATAGAAAATAACTAACTAGATATAAACATCTCTTCTAACATGAAAACAATTGAATTGTGACCCACCTGCAGAAACTTTGGGCGTAACCGCCTGGAAGGGTGTGGGCTTGACTTTCTGTTCCGAAGCAGCAGTTGGAGTCACAGACAAGGGGATACACCGCCTTCTCTTCGGAGATCTCCCAGGACTTCCAAATGGATCAAAATCCAAGCTCCTTTTCAACGTGACACACGCCATCTCAAGCGTTCCACACCAAACAGGACCTAGTGACAAAAAAAAAACGTTCACTGGTTGAGGACCCGGCGGAGCCTGCTAAATGCGAGCCTCTCGAACCACAGGTGAAAGACCCAATGTCTCTTCCTGCAATATAGAGATTCCACCCGGATGCCACTTAAAGAAATATCAGCGTCCAGTTACAGCTCCCCTCACCACACAAACGTTCGAAAATCACACAATGGACGACGCGCACAACGCAAACGAGGAACAAAGATGGCGGCCGTCGAATTTCCGGAGAACAAATTTATCAAACGTGCTTACTAATTTTCTCTCTATTTCACAATAAAAATGAAAGAAATCTTTTTAAAATCCATTTTATTAAATAAATTCAAAATCCATCTTTTTCAAAACACAAAAATGTATTTATTTTGGCTATTTTGCAAGCTAGAGACAGGTAACTCATTTATCTTTCCTTTGGATTTTTGAACAAGTATGAGAATAAAAAAAGAGTATATAAAGATAAAATAATTGTGAAACGAAACGAAAGCGATTGTTTTATAATGCTTATAAAATACCACTGAACTCTATAATGTGGAATGCGCATCGGCCGCCAGATGGTGTCCAACGGTGCCGCCATGTTGCGCAGACCAGGGCCCAGTTTCACCAAGTGGGGTAATTTCGGCATGGGGTAGATTTCCATTCTGCCCCATGGGGTAAAATCCAGTTTCACCAGCTCAAACTACCCCCATGGGGTAGTTTCGGCGTCTCTTGTGAATGTTTGCTAAGCAAGCAGCATCAGCAAAACAACGGAATGTTTTGATTGGTCGAGAATTTCATTTCACGACGGCGTGAAATGAAGAACACATTTGATTTGGCTTCTTGTATTTGTCTACCAATCACCTTGGTAACGATGGCACAATGGCACCTCAGTTTCCAAGATTCACAACTTTATTGAGAAAGGAATGCAATGCACAACCGCGAATCTTGATCGATAGGTTACAGAACAATGGCATGTTTTATTATCGAATAGTATCGAATGTTTTAAAATTAATTAGTGTTTTAGTAAATTTGATGTTTATATTAGATGTTTAAATTAGATGTTTTAGATTAGATTAGATGTTTAGTGTTTTATAATTAGAATGTTTTAGTAAATTAGTGCATGTTTTACTAGTACCGAATACACCTTGCTTGGTATTTTTGACGACTTTTAACTACGAATCTTTTGCACTAGATGCTTTTATTTCTAAGCATTACAAAATACATACAGTACCTACAGATGCACCGTGCACGGCACATTTAAAGGGACCCTCCCACCTTAACATTAGTTTTGAGTTGAGATAGCCAAGTTTGCGGCCAGGCTCAGAAACCACCATTTATCCTGGTCGCAACCCCCGCAGCTTTATGGTGTTCAAGAAATTTCTTCCCTTTACTTGCAGGGTGGGACCAGCTTGGTCCCTATCTCTTAACCATTACGGGAATCTGATGACGTCATCAGGCTTTCGAACGTCCGTTTAATGTTTGACTAAAACGTTTTGTAGCACGCGGTGGTATATGCTGCTTTGCGCGCAACAAATGCCGCACTTTCAAATAAAGTCGCTAGGAACAGCGGAGATCCCAAAAAGTAAACAAAAGTAAAAGTCTAATATCTTGAAAACCGGTGAATATTTTTCGATGGAATTTGGTAGATATTCGTTTTTGCTCTTTCTGAACCGAGCGACATCACTTTCATGCCAATTCATTAACTTTTTTGAAGGTGGGAGGGTCCCTTTAACGCAACTTTATTGAGATATGCACAACAACGACAAAAAAAAAAATAGATATGGAAAGTATCGAATCCACTTGGCCTGGTATTTTTATCAACTGCTTATTACGAATTACTTGCACCATATGCTTTTTATTTCTAATGAGAATTACCTAGGTATGCACGACATTCTCTTACTGATTTAGGTACGGCATTTTGATTTTGATTTCAGTTGTTAGCGTCTTGACATTTGCGGAATATTTGCACATTGACCGTAAGGCATATAGATGCCTCGAATGATAATTTGAATAGATCACACAAGTTGAAGTACTATGATCATTTCAACAAGACACATCGTCAGCATGTAACCACCGTGAAGAATGTGCATTTTTAATGTTTATATTTCAAGGCTTCCTCTTCCGGTATTCAAGGTCACTGTTGAAGGAAAACCTTTAAAGGTAGACTGCCACCTTTTTTCCACAAAACGGTTTTCACTAGAGCTGAGCCACCTAGTCCCAGACTGAAGTCGGTTTTCCGAAATTCGAACCCGTTTGCGAGAAATCGGAGACCAAAGTTCAGTTTGATGCCATTTTTTTAGTCCAAGAAAACCGACATCTCTACTGTTTATCGATAACTTTGAAACATGAATTTTCTTATCTTTTGGTAAATATATGTCAAAACTTTGATTGTTTCGAGATCAGAGAAGAATTTTGGAGTGTCAAAATAAAAGTTAAACTTATATATTCAGTAGTTCATTTTTTCCAAAAAAGTGTGGGAAATGGGGTTTAACATGGGCCAGACCCATTCCAAATGAGCCATGATTTTTTTTATGTTTTACGAACTTAAATGCAAAATAAATTAAACATGGCCAATTTCTCATGAAATCATATATTAGTAAATCATAAAATACCTTACTTTTTCAAATAAAATGTAATAATCTTATGACCTTGAAGTCTAGTGATGTGTAAATATTGTCGCTAGACATTAACCGATTGATAATTGTATGAAAATCGACAATTTTTTTCGCGATTCACGTGATGATACTTTGTCAGGTGAATTCTAAAATTTTGTTTTGTCCAGGGAATAAATCATAGGCCGATCTGAGAAAACTTTTTGAAGGTGGCAGTCTTCCTTTAATAGTTAAAAAAGTAAAAATACTGGCATTCAGCTATGGGCGACATCTATAATGCTTCTTTTGGGTGTTGCAATGCAGATCACAAGCATAGGTGGTGAAGGCTACATGCAGTAAAATATTTGGATGAAACTTGAAGTACCTATGCTATGAATAATGCATACTCAAACATGACAGGTGATTGGACTTCAATAAAATATGTTCTTATTACTATTTTACTGTCAATTCTTGCTCACAATTCGTATCATATTCACAGATTACCCCACGAATGTCAGCCGTAATTTTGGTCGGATATTTGGGGTAGAATTGCCGGCAAACAGCTGATTGATTGGCTTGTTCAGATGCTCACGGACCGTGAGCATCTGTTTGCATGGCAAATTTGGGGTAAAATAAGAACTGCCCCATGGGGTAGTTTGGAAGTGGCCAATCAGAACCTACCCCATTTGGTGAAACTGGTTTGGGGTAGTTTCGCCGAAACTACCCCAAACAGAGCTTGGTGAAACTGGGCCCAGGAAGCGGCCGCCGCCTGTGTTGGGGAATAGGGAATTCGGGACCTCGATTTACGTTTGCGGTCGCTGCATCCGTTACGTTCAAGCTATGTGGACACGGAACCCGGCATCTTACGCAGAATTGAGTGGAGAATAAGATGAAATCCTAAAAACTTCTCAGATACAAGGAACTAATACGTTAAGCCCTTATAAGTCAATGGGGAAATATGAAAATTGCTATTTTGGCGCCGAGAATGATCTGAAACTATCTCAAGCATATAAAATCATGATTTCATGCACTCCTTGCAAGGTTCTATGCTTCATATTTGCATTGTTGCCCTTGCGTGACGTCATTTGTGACGTCACAAGGGTCACAGTTTTTCTTCAATAACTCCCGATCAAATTGAGCTAGCGAGTCGGGAAAGCCACCAATGGACTCAGGAAGACCTGCCGAATCGAATGACATGCGACATGACCTCTTTCGACCAACTTCGTGACCTGGGGGTGCTGACCTGACCTTGACCTGAGGTCAACACCCTAAGTTGACCTGACCGGAACAAAAAGTATATCACTCGATGCGCCTGAGCTAGCTGAACACGATGATGCCAAAATCGCGGTTCTACGGCCAATTTTGGCGAAGTTATTTACCAAAAACCGAACCCGTGCCTTAGATCACTTGACCTGACCTCAGAGGTCACTGGTTGACCCGGGACCTTTACAGTGGGTTCCTACCAGTCACTCTGCATTATCCTTTGTCGCAAACGACCAATTTAACGCTTAATTCTAGTTTAATTAGCGGCGCATTAGCGAGGTGGGTTCAATCAACCCCCTCGGCCGGGGCAAATGTAGGTCCGGCGAGTGAATTTGAGGAATTCTGAAGATACGATCGTGTTCCCCACTCAATTCTGCGTAAGATGCCGGGTTCCGTATCTACGTAACTTGAACGTAACGGATGCGGCGGCCGCAAGCGTAAATCGAGGTCCCGAATTCCCTATTCCTCAACACAGGCGGCAGCCGTTTCTTGGTCTGCGCAATATGGCCGCCACCGTTAGACACTACGGCCAATAGGGTTCAAGCGGCATTGCTCCCCTGTGTAAAATACCGATTTTTAATAACAAATATTCTCTTGTTTCCTACATTTACTGCGCATTTGTGACATTTAAAGGTCGAATTAGCTTTGCACATCTGTTTAGCAGCCTTCGTTCTGCTGATGTTGGCTTCAAATTTCCATAGTAACGGCCAAAGCAACTGCTTCATTGACCAATAAAAGACTGTGGTCAAGAAAAGACGACAGTAAATCACGGGCTGGTAAATACGCTCGAACGAGTTTCGCAAGTCTACCATTTTATTTGCATTGTTTGTTGTTAGTTTGATCTACTTTATGGTGTAAATAATCCTGTTATTTTTTCAGCCTCCTAAATCTGTGTACTTTTTGCATAAAGGCGCTGGGCATTGAGCATACAAGGCACGCCCGTCCGTCGTTTTCATCCTCCCATTCCTCAGGACGTTCAAATCAAGGCCGTATATCAATTGATATTGATTTGAGGGTTCAAATCGGACGACGGTGAAAACAGGGCGCCTGGGGCGATTTGATCAAGGTTCGTTAAATTTACACGTGACATTTGGCATATGGAAGGCACATTGAGCGGGAGAAGTTCCAAATGTCACGTGACTAATATGCCTTCCGGCGCCCTGTTTTCACCGGCGTCCTTCAAATCGGGCCTGCCCCATGTCACTCTACTTTTGATTTTATACTTAAGTGGCCTCGGGACAATAGTGTCTCACAACTGCTTCATTTCTTGACTCTGGCTGCCATTTTTATAAAACATTTCTGGAATGAGGCTTAACGTAAAAAAAATATTGTAATATTTTTATTGATTAAAATGATGCGATATCAATATCCAAAAATATATTGAACAATGATTTAAACATAGCATGAGTTTGTGTGTCAGGTTACTGTTAAGTGGCATTGTAGCTGCATCCCCTACATAAACTCAGGCAGACTCAAACTGACTCGACCGACTCAAACCGATTCAGATCGACGCAGACTGATTCAAACAAACCCAGACCGGCTCAACCGACTCAAATCGATCAACTCAAATCGATTCCAATCGACTCAAACAGACTCAGGCAGACTCAAACTGATTCGGGCAGACTCAGACTGACTCAGATTGACTCAGAACGAATCAAAATGACTCAGACCGACTCAACCAACTCAAATTGATTCTGATCGACTCAGACAGACTCAGGCAGACTCAAACCAGCTCAGGCAGACTCAAACTGACTCAGGTAGACTCAGACTGATTCAGATCGACTCAGATAGACTCAGAACGACTCAAACTGACTCAGACCGACTCAACCAACTCAAATCGATTCTGGTCGACTCAGACAAACTCAGAACGACTCAGACAGCCTCAGACAACTCAAACCGACTCAGGCACACTCAAACTGACTCGACCGACTCAAACCGATTCGGGCCTGATGATTCAGGTCAAACTGATGGGTCTGTCTGAGTCGGTCTAAATCGGTTTGAGTCGGTTGAGTCGGTTTGAGTCTTCATGAGTCTGTATGAGTCGATCGGAATCGATTTGAGTCGGTTGATTCGATGTGAGTCAGTTTGAGTTGTTCTGAGTCGTCTAGCTGAATCAATCTGAGTCGATCTGAATCGGTTTGAGTCGGTCGAGTCAGTTTGAGTCTGCCTGAGTCTGTTTGAGTCGTTCCGAGTCTGTCTGAGTCGATTGGAATCGATTTGAGTCGGTAAGTCGATCTGAGTCAGTCTGAGTCGTTCTGAGTCTATCTGTGTCGGTCTGAGTCGATCTGAATCGGTTTGAGTCGGTCGAGTCAGTTTGAGTCTGCCTGAGTCGGTTTGAGTCGTTCTGAGTCTGTCTGAGTATCGGAATCGATTTGAGTCGGTCTGAGTCAGTCTGAGTCTTTCTGAATCGGTCTGAGTCTGCCTGAGTCGGTTTGAGTCTGCCTTAGTCTCTCTAAGTCGTTCTGAGTCTGTCTGAGTCGATCGGAATCGATTTGAGTCGATCGGAATCGATTTGAGTCGGTTGAGTCGGTCTGAGTTAGTTTGAGTCGGTCTGAGTCGATCTGAATCGGTTTGAGTCGGTCGAGTCAGTTTGAGTCTGCCTGAGTCGGTCTGAGTCTGTTTCTCAGTTGATACTGATAGCGTGGTACGTTATCTTCTCTTCCAGTGACGTCAAAGCATGCTTCGGCCTGGCACGGCGGCGTAATACAGGAAACCTTAACCTTGAACAAAAACATTACCGGTGACGCCAGGGTTACCGATACCCTGATTGGTTTTATTTATTATTTATTTATTTATTTCACGTCGCGACAAACCCATCCATTCGAGAACGGCTATTCCGGGCGTCATGTCATTTGGAAGATGTGATGGATAAAACATTCGCTCTTAGCACACGCATACAAAACACACTCACGGGTCCTCATCGCCATACTGCTCTCGGAGTAGCAGTGCTCGGTACTGGGCTTTGAACTGCCGCGGCCCCAGGCCTCGCACGGCTGGTGGCAGTGAGTTGTATGTTGTCACGGCTGAATAAAGAAACCGTCGGCGGCCTGACTCTGTGCGGATCGCTGGGGTCTCGAAAAAGTCAGCTTGGCGGGTCTCCCTACCATGAACACTGCGGCGGGTAACAATGCCTTCACGCAGCGACTCAGGCTGTCCCGTAGCTAGCATTCTCTTGAGCAGAGTCACCGAATGAAACCGCCACAAGTTCTCAGCAGAGAGCCACTTCAGGGTCTTCATGACATCGCTGACATGGTCATACCTACGTCGGCCAGACACCACCCGAGCACCGAAGTTCAGTAGCTTCTGAACTCTGGACAGCTGGGTCACACCGCAGCAGCCATAGACACTGATACAATACCGGACAATAGACACCGCCAGAGCCTGCACCAGTATTGTCAGTGTGTCCCTGGGCAGCGAGTGTCTACTGTGGCTTAAACCGCTCAGGATACCAGTGCCACGCCGTACGACATCGGTCACGTGATCTGAGAAAGACAGACTCTGATCAAACGTGACCCCCAAGTTTCGAACAGTGAGGGATCCCGTAACCTTAGCACCCATAAATTCAACTTCTATTGGCGGTAACTGACGGAGATTTTGCTTGGTACCCAATGTTATTAGTTGCGTTTTGTTAGCGTTCACTTTTAAACCGTTTTTCTGGAACCAGACTGAAAGAGCCGCTAAATCCTGTTCTAGACTCTGAACTATCGCTGCTGCATCACGAGGGCTTCCCATCACCGCCAACTGTGTGTCGTCCGCATACTGTACCAGACACCTGTCATGATTAGCGCAGTCGGGAAGGTACAGAGACATGAGACATGGTTGGTGGGGAAGTGACTACCTTCTATAGATGGCCTTGGTTCAATTCAACTCCTTCTCCTTCACTCCGCAACCCTCAGTCCGGGCTAGACAGGCAACTTTATCTCATGCGGGCCGCTCCCTTGGGGAGCACACCCGTAGCTGTGTGTAGTGAGTACTTCATCGTCGTCGTTTCTCTCTCCAGCCCTCAAGGGGGCGTAGCCGATGAGGCTCAATTGAGCGCGGTAGCCGGCAGCCAAGGCCGCCACCGCGCCATCGTCCCTCGCCATAGACGCTTCCAGGTGTATATTACCCAGGCGCCGCAGGCGGCGGCCTGCCAGCGCCGGGCATCGGAGCAGGACGTGTCGTGGAGTGTCCGCCTCTTCACGGCAGACGCGGCATCGGGCGGCAGGGCATCCACGTCATTACACTGCGGGCAGTCGGCCTCGGGACGGCGGCCGATGCGGTGCAGGTACTGCGTCGAGCCACTCAAGTGTCCTGCTCAGAGCTGGTGAATGTCAACCGCGACGGCACGGTCGGCCTCGAGGACGGAGCCGGGACGGCGGTCGGCCCATATCGAACGATACCAGCCGTCCGGCCAGCTCCGCTGCCAGGCGCGCGCAGCGTCTGGTGCGACGGCCTTGCATATCGTGCCAACGTCGATCGGAGTGTCATGTTGGGGTAGGGCGCTGGCCTCGCGGGCGAGAGCGTCCGCTCGCTCATTGCCGGGGAGCCCGCAGTGTGCGGGGACCCACTGCATGGTCACTGGCTGGCCCCCCTCGGTGAGCGCGGCCAGCAGTCTCCATAGTGAGTACTGTAGGCGGCTGGTTGGCCTGTCCTTTGGGGTGGGCTCAGCCCCAGGGACTCACTAGGTTGCCTGCCCAAGCCAATGTCCCTCCCTAATTCCTATCATCCTTCCAACTCCGAAATGGTCTTGTCAGACCGAAAGGGACTAGCCCAACAAAACAAAAGAAAACAGCATACAGGGACAAGATAATGAAGTATTAGATCTTTTAATCTCATGAGATGGGTACAGGGAACCGCAGCTACTACTGTAATGCAGTCCTCGGTCAATTGTCCTAGCATCCTTCCTTACAGGGAACTGCTGTAATTTTTTTTAGAATGTATGGACTGCTGACTGAAGCCCTCAGCTGCTCCTGTTCAGGGCCTGCAGGTTTTATTACTCAATGCCATCTACCTAATAATTACCTATAGAATATTACGGTACGCCGACAGCTGTTAAGCCTAGGCTCCACTACGCGGTTTTCCAGTGCGATTTTTCGATATTGCGATATCACGTTATCGCAAGAAAGTTCAGAATTCTGAATTCTTTTGCGATAATGGGATACATGAGAAACATGACATTGAGAAATGCATTCAGCACAAGAATCGTCAACGACTGGGACGCCCTGCCGTCCACAGTAGTGTCAGCCACATCGGTTGCTCAGTTCAAGGCGCAACTGGGCCGACACTGGGCCAATGAGATGCACGGCATCCCGAATCCCGGCCTCGCCTGTACCCTGTCACACATGCTGTTGTTGTTATTGTTGTTGTTGAGACCCCACGTAGCAGGGCCGCTACGTAGCCTCACGGCTCTGGAGGTACCTCGCGGCGGCTCCAGGGCCGCCACCACGCCGCTGCTCCGGGCTTCCTCCTCCCTCGGGTATATGTTGCCTAGGTGCCGTAGGCATAGTTGTATCAATGCTGGGCAGCGGAGCAGAATGTGTTCCGGCGTGTCTGCCTCCCCTTCGCCACAGCAGCCGGCCGGCCGACACGTCAGAACTGACAAACATAATTGCTGACACTATTTCAGAGTTGCAACAGGAATTGGCTTGCAAGCACAAAATGAGTGTGAAATCATTTTTAGATAAACTAAGAAACTTTGATGCTTATCCAAAGCCACTTGAGGATTTCAGAATCAAAACATGTGGTGGTGCCTCAGGTAAGTTGTTTTTGTAAACTTCTGTCAGCTACTTGTGCACTATTTTGTTCCTGAATGGTCAGAGCTGACTGTTTTGGCTGGAATCAGAGTCAGCCAAAGCATACCGACTCTAGGTTGTAGTTTATATTTATTGGCTTAAAGTCATGCTCTTAGCTTGCTTATTGATATTTTAGGTTCGTTTTTAACAGCCATGTTACATGGTTTAAGTTTATAACAATATTACTTAGAAACTCAAAGCAGCTTGTCATGGTCAGTCTTGTTCGAGATCCTGTGGGCTGTGGATATTGTAGGGGTCAGACCGCCTGTGCGTCAAACTGATAATCAAAGCCTCCAGTGCTCTCAGGCCAATGTGGGCCCTCTCACACCTCAGCATCAGGCACTCAAAGGTCGGCGTAGTCCTGTGAAAGTGTTGGTGAACTCGTACGTCGAAAAGAAAACGCTGTGAAGGGTTTCAAGGTCACTGTAGATTAGTTGACTCTGCAGCCCTTATGAATTCTCGCTCTCGCTATATTCTCTCGCCTGTGTCATAGTCAGGACAAACCCAGGCTAACAGAGCGTGTCCATATTCGCAGTGACTCTGATCAGCGGCATCATCATCCTGCTGCTGTTCATCTCGGAGGTCCGCGACTTCATGGCCGTGGAGCAGGACGAGGAGCTTCTGGTGGACACCACGCGCGGCGAGAAACTGAAAATCAACGTGGACGTCATCTTTCACAACATAGGCTGCAACTGTGAGTTTCAGTTGTGTTGTAAACCAAAGTCGGTTGTCAGGCTTGTATAAATGTATACAAGTGTCAGAAATTCTTGGTGTCAAGCTTTTGCTCTGTGTGCATTTCCAGGTTATCATGAGTTTGTTGCTGATCTACCTATTCTTGATGTTCCAGATGTTTCCATCGATGCAATGGATTCTTCAGGAGAATCACAAGTTAATGTCGAGCATAACATATTCAAGCGTAAACTGGACCTCGAAGGAAAACCTATCGAAGATCCAGAGAAAGAACACAGTAAGTCTCCATGTAGCCATGCATTGTGACGATAGTCTACACTTTCGTTTCCGTAGATGGCGCCCCAGTCAGCTGATTTTCGATAACTAGCAATGGATTCATGAGCTAGTATAACCGCGTGATTTTCCTCGTGGTCCACAGAGCTGGGCTCGGCGGCTACTCAGAAGGCCAACACCACCACTGACGTGGCCGTCGCCAAGAAGGACGAGTGTCTCAGCTGCTACGGCGCGGAGACCGACGAGCGCAAGTAAGAGACTGATAGCTGGGTTGGGGGATTTTGTCTTGTCCTTTTCTTCCCTTCCCTTACCCTTCCGCGGTATCTCTTTCATCGATCCATGACAATCCATGAATTTCATCTAGCTTATCCATGAAAAATACCCTCGTCAGATGCTGAATCGTCGTCTTGCATGTACAATTTATGAGATGATGTCGGCAATTTAGTAAGTGTTTTGACTCATAAGCCGTATTCATTTGTTCACCTTACGTTTTCCGTAGATACTGCCAGTGATTACCACAAGCGGTGGGAAGACATAGCTCTTCTGAATCTCGCAATGTTTGACGTGAATGAACTTGGTACTAGTTGTAGAGTCGGTAGAACCAATTTCGAGTGTAGTCAGCCACTTTGGTAGAGCGATAATTTCACGGCTGTATCGACCGTCCCTGTCAGGTGCTGTAACACGTGTATGGAGGTGCGCGACGCCTACATGAAGAAGGGCTGGGCGATGCCCAGCCCGAACAGCATCGACCAGTGTAAGGGGCTGAAGCTGAACGACGCCGACCTGAAGGCCCTGCAGGAGGGCTGTCAGATCTACGGCTACCTAGAGGTCAACAGGGTGAGTGACCCGACCCAGCATGGATATCTGAGTGGGAGTGGTCAGCTGAGCTTGAGCTGCATTGTGGCTTGGCTGAATCTGCTCTTGTGGACATAACGTTGTTCGTGATTATCCTATTGTAATTGCTACAAATTGTGCAAGATTTCATCAATGCTTCATCGCTTGTAAACACTGCTGACTGCTGAGACAGCACACTGTTTCCCAAACGTGTCGGTGGCATTTGGATGGACTCAGATAACATACTTGCCCTGTGTATGTGTGCCGCAGGTTGGGGGCAACTTTCACATTTCACCCGGACGCAGCTACCAGCACGGACACATTCACGGTACGGGACCTTCCCTTTTAGCGCATCGTTGATCGAGTTCGATTAATGAATTGCCTCAATTGGTCATGGACCTAAATTTTACTACTTCTGAACGATTTTATCAAAAAGGTGTACCATTTATCAGGGAATGTCGGGCCTATTTTACTTTTGTATCAGCCAAAACTAAATGCTCGCCGATGTCGGTTTCAAAAACATTATTTCATGCTTGTTTACGATCGTTAATTGTGCTAAACGATCATCGTGCTTTCAACCAGCGGCAGTACCGCATGCATTAACCCAACGACTACGTTCTACGATCGCCCGTTTCAGTGCACGACATGCAGCCGTTCTCGGCGCGCGAGTTCAACCTGACGCACACGATCCGTCACCTGTCGTTTGGCCAGAACGTGCCGGGCAGGACCAACCCGCTGGACGGACTGCAATCGGTCGCCGAGAAAGGTGAGATGTCAGTGAGCGGCGCGCCGCACGCGCTACGGGCAGACGGTTACCGTCCTTTCAGCCAGAAGCTGTCGATGTGGCGTGTAGTCTTGATTTTGTTAGTTGTTACATAGAGCAGGTATTAAAAGCTGATTGGTATTAAGCGAAGGTGGAAGCGTGAAAATAGAGACGGGCGTACAGTTGCGTTATGCTATGTTGACAGGCGAGAGACAAACAAGACTGTTGATATACTGTGGTTATTTTATTACACAATGCACACTACAAAACAGCGTTTCCTGCTCAACCCATTGCAATAACCATATGAGGTGGCTGAGGATACCATACATATGATTCAGTACGGGATTTCAAGTGGCCATTTGAATTCCCGGTATCACACTAAACACTCGCGAGACAGCATGGCGAAGAAGGGGCGACATGGTCAACACCGAATGCCCGTGCCTATCGCCATGAAGGTGCCGAACGTGCCGCCTCCCTGCAACATCACCTTGCCCACGTTGTTGATAAGCTCCCGGCCTCGCAGCCCGTACCTGAAGCAGATACAATGGGTTAATCAATCTGGTTTTTGGTATAACGTTTATCTAGCTTGGTGGGGTCACGCCTTCCCAAATCATGTCATGGCAGTATGATGAGTATTGTGCATTTTTATGAAATATTCAATTTTTTTAATGAACTGATTCCTTGGCCCATGCAAAGTGAATCATGTTATGCGGGTCCCGACTGTTTACCCCTCGTGTGCAAACTCTAGAATGGAAGGCATCGTTCAGAGTTGTGTGGACTATAAGCGGTTGACACAATCAGAGATAGACTGCCCCATTTTCAAGCCTATCTGGCTTGTGATGCAACCACTGCCACATAACATAAAGCAGGCAATCACCATTAGATGTAAGAGAAATCAAAGATCCTTGGTTTGGAATCTTATCATTGGCCAGCTGAGCAGATAAGTCTCTCTGATTTGTGTGGGTTTTTTCTACTAGACTCCATCTGGGCTGTAAACAATGTTATTCTTCCTATTGTTTGATAAGAGATGCATTTATTGGTTGACATTTGTTTCATTCACAATTTTAAGATTTATAAGGTGTTAATCCTAATTATTTGTTTTTCATAATATCAAACAATGCTCCCACTATTTATCCTGCTTGTCTGTCACTAACCTCAGGGCAGAGAATCCTCCAAATAGCGCACCACTTGCCATTCCGACACAAAATCCAATGCCAAATCCCATCTTCATCTTGTCAAAACAGCTTGGCCCCTGGGCCCCATATCCAGCAGGGATCGGCATTGTGGCCTGAAACATGTCATATGAATATGTGAATGAAGAACATGATCCCTTTGGCTGTCTTGACAAATATGAAAAAAAAATGATGCATGCATACCTATCTAATTCAGCTAAACAGAGATCTAATACAAGTAACACTTTGATTTCAGTGCATGGCTTTTATCTGACACAGTGACATGACAGATAATTGCAATAAGGCTAGATGGTTACTAAACCCTCTTAGCCAGAAAGTAATTTGTGTTTTCCTGCCAACAAAGTGACTATCAGAGGTCCGCCTTCCATGTTGATGTAGTGAGGTGGCACATCCACATTGCTATGAGCCCACTGCCCACTACTATTTGACCGTAAATTTAATTCTTACGTTTGCAACAATCTAGCAGTTCTAAAAGTGTTTTGTACTTCAACTTAGGCGATTTCCCAGCGCTTATCACTTATCACCGGTGTCAGCTCGTGCGCGTGCGGCGAAAACTGCGCCGTATTGGTATGGGCGCCGCCATGTTGCGTAGGCGCCGCCTGTTTCTGCTTTTCGAATTTCGATGTCTTCTTTAAAAGGTGGTGATATATAGCAAGCCAAATTTTATACTTCGTTTTTATTTTTGAACAGTCATGATAAATATTACCCCTCTGCATCACATTTTTATTTTTGTGGTTAATGTCAGCTGCTCATGTATGGTTAGAAGCGCTATTTGGACGTTCCCTGCACCGGCTCGTTGGTCTAGGGGTATGATTCTCGCTTCGGGTGCGAGAGGTCCCGGGTTCAAATCCCGGACGAGCCCAACGATTTTGCAGGAGGTGGTTCCACACTTCCACCGCGGTTCCCTGAGCGAGCCCGAAGTAGGCACTAGGGCCTAGGCTGTGGCATCCATATTTCCATTCAAAGACTACGTCATTGACCACGCCTGCGTATGTGGCTAGTGGACACCACAGCTGTCTATGCCGTGCTATGGATGGCGACCCCGCGGTGGGGTGGGGGCAACAGGGACTGGTTACTGGAAACAGGTTATCTCGCTCCTATTTTACTTTATTGCACATTAGCTAAGATGTGTAAATAATAAACATAGCGGTGGTCACTAGTTACCTATCTGATTTCGTTCCTCTCTCCCGGCCAGGCGGCACCATGTACAAGTACTTTGTGAAGATTGTGCCGACCATGTGGCAGAGGCGAGACGAGTTCACGCTGTTCACCAACCAGTTCTCCGTCACCCGCTACCACCAGGTGAGTACGGACCAGGGCCTTGGAACTGCCGCGGTGGGACGCGTGCGGAGGGGCGGCTGGAGGGAGGAGAGGGGCGGCATTAGTGTGAGGGCAAAATGTAGGATAGAAATAGCTGGGGGACTGTGAGCTTCAAAGTCAGCTGGGGTTTGAATATGAGTGATGCGTAGGATTACGGGTAAAGTTATAGCGAACATGAAAGGGAGAAACGAAGCGATAGTTCATTTCAGTTCCGTGCGATGTCCTTTCCACACAGGAGGCTGAGTAGTGAGTAGGTAGCTCAGGTGCTATCTCACTGACGTATCATGTGTGGTTTATTGCAGGCTCTGAACGAGTTTTCGGACGGCAGCTCCGCCCCCGGCGTGTTCTTCTCGTACGAGTTCGCACCGCTCATGGTGAAATACACCGAAAGAGTCAAGTAAGTCAGTTTGAATGGTCCGCTGGACTAGCAAGACTTTTTGCTGTGTGTGTTCAGCTAAACAGATCACCTGGATTGAATCTGCGTACCTCATGTTTTTCACGCCCTGTGAGAGCCGCCCAGTCTGGGCAGTGCCGAGTGCATGTGGTTTGAGCGAAACGTGCCTTGCTGAGCGGTTAGATCTGAGCGGTGTGTGATCTGAGCGTTGTATGGTCTGAGCGTAGTGAGCTGAGCGCGGTGTGTGCTGCCGGCAGGTCGGTGGGCCACTTCGCCACCAACCTGTGCGCCATCGTGGGCGGCGTGTTCACCGTGGCTAGCCTGCTAGACGCCGCCATCTTCCACTCAGTGCGTGCCATACAAAAGAAAATAGAACTAGGCAAGCAACGCTGACCGAGCCGTCACTAGTCGCTAAATGCAGAGGAATAGACCACTCTTTTGCGCAAGCTAAGTGCGAAAGTGCAACGCTCAGTTAGTGAAAATACTGATGTGAAAATAGAACTGAGCGATTCAGGTTGCCCGACACTGGCAGTGTACTGTGCTGGTGGAACGGGACTGACCGGACACCGAGTGAAAATAGGTCGCTATGCCGCGGCGGTCGCCCCGCTCCGCGTGCATCCAACGCACAAGTGTTGACGGAAAAAGCTGTCTACGCTACCGTACCACCGGAACCTGACTGCAGTACACAGGTCACCGTACAGTGGGTGGGCCTGCTGCTGATCAGGTTTTTGGGGCACTAGGACCGGTCGGCCGGGTCGCCAGGGAGTGCTGGATTGACCCGGCGTGCCCCGCTGATGACATCGATCGCAGCGGGTCGGTGGGAGTGCGGACTAGGGTACACCGTTAGAGGACATACACAGCCCCCGGTCCCGAATTCTGTGATGTCCCGGGCCTGTGGGTACTGAGGGATGACTGAAGGCGCTCAGACAGAACCGAAGGACGTTTGGTGACGTATGGTGGCAAGCACCGTCAAATGCCATCGTAGGATTATCAGAGGAAGCCAGTGTGTGACAAATATGGTGTAGTAAGGACGAGGTCCAATTGTTCTGCGATTCGTTCAAAAGAGCAGCTTTGAAATGGGCATCAAAAGCCATGTTTGTCATGCTTTACCAGCTACTTCTTATTTATTGTGGATACCCGCTTAGCGTTTTGATATTTTTTTCCGTTATTAGCTTTAGATTACTTACGATTGTGGTTACTTCACGTATACATATATCTGGATGAGTACGGTAAACGCCTAAACGGTACTTCACCATGATAAAAATAATCAGCCTAAACTCTTATTCCTCACTGAAACGCGTATTTTAGGAGTTTTGCATATTTACTGGTTAACTAGACGATATTGGAGAATAATTCCCCAATCCCTATGTCCCGAAAAGCGCACGTAGGTATATTTCTTTTGGATGCATCCGAGCGGTGTATTTTATCCTCAGCTGATGAGGTCCGGCTTAAGTGTGATGATTTTACGATGGTCGTTTGTTTGGGTTGTGTCTATTCGTTGTGTTACCGTCCGTGTGCTGCAGTGTGACGGGAAGAGGTGGGTTTTGTGTGAAGTGTTTATTATTTAAATACCACATGATCATTACAGCTGCTCCAACACGTGAACGTTGGAGGGTGTGTCGTGGTCATGGCATGTATCTCAGTGGAACGGACATTAGAAATTGTGGTATTCGATGATGCTGTTTGATAAAATGTACGCACTGATGAACTACTGCCTTAGAATTCCAGAGTTATGAAGTGTCCCTTTTGTATTGCTGTGTGTTTGTCGCACTGACGTGAAGTGACCGCAGTTGTTACTTCTCCGTTGGCATTTGGTGCTGGGCTTTCTGGACAGTATTTATTATATTGCCCGTTATGGATGGGCTGACAGGGGACGCTTACGTCATACGTGAACACAATATCAGCCATAGAAGCGACAAAACATGGTAAATTTTATGCTGTAATGGCGATGTGAATGACCACCTTAAAGGGACACTCCCACCTTAACATTAGTTTTGAGTTGAGATAGCCAAATTGGTGGCCATGGCCTGCAAATACCGGTTTGGGCACTCACAACATCGACAAATGCTTTAATTCGGAGATATGTAATTTCAAACTTGCAGTTTTCGGATTCTAAGGGGCTAGTGCATTGGTATGCCCCCTTAGAATTTGTGACGTCAGCGGAGATCTAACGATTTTTAAATCTTTTACTAAAACGTTTGGTAGCACGCGGTGGTATATGCTGCTTTGCGCGCAACAAATGCCGCACTTTCAAATAAAGTCGCTAGGAACAGCGGAGATCCCAAAAAGTAAACAAAAGTAAAAGTCTAATATCTTGAAAACCGGTGAATATTTTTCGATGAAATTTGGTAGATATTCGTTTTCGCTCTTTCTGAACCGAGCGACATCACTTTCGTGCCAATTCATTAACTTTTTTGAAGGTGGGAGGGTCCCTTTAATGGATGTCGGAATTTGTCTCGACACCCGTTTGGCCCTGTTCAGTTATTGATTAGTCTAAAGCCGTGGATTGCCTTTCGCAGCATGCTCTTCCTGGGATTGGGGGCGTGCACCTGCATATAGTGACATTCACCCGTGTGTGAGTGTGTTTGCAAACTTTATCAAACTTTTAGTAATGCGAGATGTTAATTGATTTGTGAGCTGCACCATTCACCCATTTATCACCAATGTGTTATCCAATTGTGCATGCGACCAGCGCCAAACATTTCATGCTTTTCTGCTGTTTCTCTTTACAAAAAGGAACTCAACATTGGCTGCACCCAAGATTCTTACAGACAGGCTGCACCCATCGCCATTCCTGTATGACTACCGTTTTCTAAATACATGAGTGAGGATTTGATCTATACTTGTTTACTGGTTCCGCACGCCAAGGTTACCAAGGTCATCCAGGGAGATCAATGCTGAGGCTGATTTATTTTTCGATAATCCTGGTAAGTGACGAAAACTGATAATATGAAACCCCGACCCTGGGCAGTTATTTTTCGGCCGCCGATTGATGTAATCATCTGTCGCTCTGCTGTGGGCGGGGCGGCCGTTCGAACTGGTTAGACGGGTCTGGGACAGGGACCGGCAGTGGGAGCGACACTGACCCGACCCGTTACCTCGAGCTGGGACCGGGACGGGACACGGACCGGGATACCAGCCCGGCTGGACGGGGACGGCAGAGTGACCGCCCGTGCTGCGCGACCGGCCGGGTCTGACCGGATCGGCGACCGGCGCGGCGGGCCTTGAGACTGGATCCAGGTCACTGGGGAGAGGGTGACCGGGGGGGGGGGGGAGAGATAGAGCTCCAAGCAGCCGCCGCTGCGAATACACCGGATAGACGGCGTGGGTGGGGGATAACTTCCCATAGTGGGCCGCTTCCCGTCACTTTCTAATCGACGAGGTGAAGGCGTTTCGTGATCATAACTGTCACGAATGGCATGGTGAATGGTTGTAACGTTCACAGTGTCTTCGTGACGTCAACTTTATTGACCCCGCCAGACTGCGAAATGGCTAGAAAACGTGGGAATAAAATCATGTAGCGGCATTTCAGTGATCGACGAATTGCTCAAACCATGCACGACTCAATGCGCTCGGCAGACATGACGATAGGGACGAATGACGCTCAGTCCAGAAGTTCCAGCTTTAGGGTAAGGGTCCTCTGATATGGCTTACGTTGGACGTGTGATGGTCTTGTGTCGCTACGCTCAGCAGCGGACCAATCTACCCGCTTGACCTCCATGTTCCCAAACAAAAACACATGGCGTGTGCATCTCTGCGGAACACGCGACGGCGGAAGCGTGAGCGGGAGGTGGAACATGGTTGGAACAGCATCACCAGCCGCAGAAGAGTCGGCGGCGGCCACTAGATGTCGATGGTGACGGTGCACGCCGCGCCGACACCGGCCCACCGTCGGTCAGCCGGTCAGCCGGCCGGTCAGTCGGTCGGTCGGTCCGCGGCGTCAGTCGGGCCTGGCGCGTGGACCGAGCGACTCCGGTGCGGAGAGCGGCGGTCGGTCGGTCGGTCGGTCGGTCGGGGTCGGTGCACGGTGAAAGGTGGACGGTGCACGGCTGGTTGACAGACGGTGAACAGTGATTTAGTCAATACTCGGCAGTGCCTGGTGATACACGGACCGACTGAGCAGCGTGCCTCCGAGTGGTCGGGCGTCGACCTGCAAAAGTGCATGCTTTTCATATACCGTTTACTGACCTCAGAATCGACCTCTTAGCTTACGGGTGTAATAAAAGCTCTCTGAAAAAGAATGCCGATAAACTAGCTCAGCCCTCCGGAGCCAGATCCATCGGGCTCATTGGGACGAGCCGTCCTGAACACTGAACGGTGTTGTAGAAGTGACCGCAGACTGAAGATTTCGTCACTGACTGCCGTCCGACGTCTCTCCGCCGACTGGGCCCTCGGGCACCCATAGCCGTTCACCACAGTCCTAACTGTGCACTGTGGTCACCAGTAGCCTTACATCCTCCACATCGGGCGTACCGATCGAACGTACCGCCTGTCCTCTCCACTCTACCGCTACCTCGCCAGATCTCCTTCACCATGATCTCCATCATCATCTACCGCATGTTCTTCAGCGACGGCCGCCACAAGGGGCTGTACGTCCTCACCATGACTGCCTACTACACCATGTGTTTCCTGTTGGTGTCCGGGCCGCTGGCCATGCTGTCGGAGGAGGAGGAGGGCCCGCCGCTGCTGCCGGTGGCCGAGGTGCCGCTCTCGGAGGTCACCACGGCTGAACTCCGGCGGAGGAACGTTACAGACCGGTGGGCCCTACGCGGCCGGCTGGTGGAGCGCTACTGCCAGGAGGCCGGTGTCGCCAGGGCGCACAGGTGGGTCCGGCAACTGTGCTGGTGATTTATTTCAGTGACACTGAAATTACGCTCATCGCCGATCAGTTAATTTGAAAGACTTGGACGATACTTAGGTACCAGTGGATTACGTAATACGTGCAGCCCACAATGTTTACTTTTTTATTGTGTTGATTTTAGGTTCTCGTTTCCCATGGGCTAATTCTCACATCATTACTGTTGCTGACTTTCGTGTCTGTGTCAACACCTTTTTGTCATATAAACCTGTTTTTGTTCCCGTATGACCCTATTTGACCGTTCCCACTTCATGTCACTCATCTCAGCCGGCCCGGCCCCAACATCCGCGGCTTGCTGATCTCCAGTCACCACAAACTAGCCTCGTGCGCCGACGGGGACACCGGTGACCACTTCTGGCTTAGGACATTCACGAGACTGGCTCGTGCCGACCCCAGCCACCGCTGCGGAGAGCGACCCAACGGTACGCGAGAGGGAAAATTGGACATGGAGCGGGGTCAGCGTCAGGTGGTGTAGTCGGGACGTGTGTTTTTATTGTAGCGAGTTGATGACCGAGTCGTGCCGCGTTATAAGACCGGCCGTGCTGTTGTGGCCGTGTGCTGCCGATGGAGCGGGTGATACGACAAACGCTGACCTGTTTTATCACTAATCTCAAATGTAACCTCCTGGACCGTTTCGACTTAGATGTCAACTGTGTTATCAGCCCGCGTGTCATGTCCCGTTCAGGGACTCGTTTCGGCGCCGGGGTCAATTGTCCAACGTGGCTCAGCCGCTCCCCGACAGACCTTACCCGCTGCAGGTGGACGCTAGACACCGTTCGTTCTCTGGTCCCCGCCCCTCTCGCTTCCCTATAGACTGGACCCACCGACCCTTTCTCTAGCTCTGACCCAACCCACTTTTCCCCTATAAACCTGAGCCCTGACCCACTGCATTGAATACAGGACGGCGAATGCTTTCTCTACCCCCCCCCCCCCCACTGCAGACACGGGCCGCCCCGCCACACCACAGGGGAGCTCTTCTCTGACTTACGTCTCTCCCCTACAGACGACCTAACCCGCTGCCGGGAGGACGCCCGCCGCCTGCAGGCACTGAAGGACGGCAGCTCCGGCAGCCCGTTGGACTCTGCCGACTGGACCCATGTGGTGACCGTGAGCCATCCTTACTCGAGGCTAGCAGCAGCCTACCTCAGGAAACCGTGAGTGAGCGCTCTCCGTTCCCAGATTCAGAGCACGATAGTCACATGAGTGCTCTTAATCTGTCATATTCTGACCTGCGAGCGGCCACATACCTATTCTAAGGTGGACTGGCGTGTGCATTATAGTCACACGCGGTGCAAGCTTCAGGACCGCCAAAAGTGAATCAAAGCATCACCAGTATGCTCCCTACCTACCACCTATCACTAAAGATAAGAAGTAAGAACGAATACAGTTTTCCATTTCAGCTACGGCTTCGTATCTGAATTCACCAACCGTTTGAATGACGTGTTTTTCTTACCTACCGTCTCCCCACTCAGGTTCCCCAAGGCGACCTCGTCATTTCCCGAGGCGGTGCACGCGCTGACCTCTGGCGACGCCGGTCTGCCGGAGGGCCTCGGACCGCTGACGGTGACCTGTGACCTCTGCGGGGTCACCGGCCGGCGGCTAGTCATACAGGCCGAGACGGAGGACGAGGAGCTGCAGGAACTGGTGAGGAACTGTCGGGGAGAGGAAGGGACGTGGGGGTTGACCGGAGGCTGGGGAGGGACAGGGGTATACTCAGAGGTCGTGTACTTCTGAATGGCACGATCTCACGATGCCAGGTTACGGAAGATGAGTGGCAGTCATGAGATTCAATAATGCAGCCGTGAAGGCAGCGTGGGCACAAACTACTAACCATGCGCTGGGTCAACAGCCGTCGGGAAACTGCAATGACGGGCAAAGCAGTAACCCCACGACTGGAAACTGGAAGCATGCATTAACAATCACTTGAAACAATAAAAATTGCAACACCATTACAAAACACCAGCAAAAATGTCAAAAAACTGGAGACTGCAACATCGCACACAAATGTAACTCTCATCACAGGAGACTGCAATGCCTCACACAAATAGTAGCACCATGTATGAACAGGAGACTGCAGCTCCCCATGCACCGCTAACACCAATTATCAGAGACTGCAACACGCTCTACAAAGACAACACCAAGCTCCGGAAACTGCTACATTGCAGTCGGGCGGTAACACAGGACTTGGCAAAAGCCGCTTATGCTCGCAGAACAATGATACTGCAACTCGGAGTACACAAAGAACATCCAACAGCGGCCGTTATCACTCCATGCATTGGAGACCCGACCACTCTGTCCCCTTCCCGGCCCCGAGGGGGAGTTCATCTTTCAATACTGGCGTCATTTGTTGACTTTTGTGATTCCCTTTCTCCGCAGGGCCGTCAGTGGGGTATCTCTGACTACCTGCGGCGGCCGGCGCCGAACCCGCGCAGCCCGGCGGCCCGGGCGGCGGCGGCCGGTCCCAGCCCCTCCACAGTCTCCCAGCTGCTCGGCCAGCTGTCGGCTGACCAGCTGCGGCAGCTGCAGCGGCTCTACCGGGCCGACTTCGAGGCGCTGTCCTTCTACGACCCGGCAGAGTTCCAGGGATCAGCCGCGTCACCGCCGGACTACAAAGAGCCAGTGCGGATACCGGTGCAAGAGCTGACACGTAAAATGAGCCAATCAAAGGACCTGGAGGGTCTGTAAGATGTCTGAAGGGTCCGTAAGTGGCCAAGCAGTTGGATCTCGGCAATGTGATGACAAATTCAACCGATGAGAGTGGTGTATGGTTCTGCCAGGGAGGTGAAGGACTCCATTGGTGCAGTGGCCACAGAATCTCCTACGACTGATAGCTTCGTACTTAGCCACGAGGGCTGCTGCCGGGGTTAGTCTCCGATAGCCATGAACCAGCCCCCAACTGCCGTACCCTGGGGGTAGGGTTATCCGGAGATATCGGAGAATCAGGGGAGCGCTGCCTGCGATTGAAGATGAACGTGAAACCCTGCACGGACCAGTCAATGTAGATATGACCTCGTTCTTACCGCTCCTATAGAAGGCGATTGTCATGCAGGAACGAAGCTTGAGGCTAACTTTCATCGATAAGATGGACTCAAGATCGCAGATAACGTGATTGTTGCTCGTCTACAAAGACATCCAGCTATTTGTGAGGGGCGACCAAAGCACCGTGATTTGTGCCGATATAACCAGTTCGCGCTGTGAACATACACAATTACGCTCTCACAAGAGACAATAGGGAAATCGGCACGGGATAGTTACCCTGAATCGTACTTCTGTGGGTACTGACTGATATCGTGCGTGCTATTGTTACTTGTTATAGATGTTACTTAGGATAGCGGAGGTTCCTGTGTAGTTTTCATTCAGAACCGGGCATTGACGCGGATACATGACAAAAATACTGCCGATGTCATTCATGTATGGTGCACGCTGTGTAATAAACCAAATCACAATCGATGTCAATCTTTTGTCTATTTATTCATAATATACATCCTTCAATAGTTCTCAACAACAGCGTACAGCCGCGCCAAAGCTCCCCGATGCATATGAACGGCACATTTCCTTGGTGCCTCAGACCCAACCTCTGCGTGCTCTGCTGGAAAATGCTTCAAACACAGCATTCCGGGAGCCTGTATGGACATTGGACACAATCGGCATGGACACACGACAGCAAGCCCTAGTGGGTTTCTCGATATAAACTAGGGAATTCGTGACATATTTGCCATAGACAGAAACAAAATACCTTGATAGCGTATTTAAGAACTGGGGGCTCGATCACATTTCCATATAACTTCCATACATTATCATTTACTCAATCAAAAATGCCAGGGATCTCAAAAATATAACTGGGAAGCAACGCAATCTTTCTTTACGAATACGCATATTTCTTACAACGCAATATTTTGCCAGTCGACCGACCACTCGCCTATCTTCGTATCAATTAGAGAGCGCTCGGGAGATCCGGTCTCCCACCTATCATTGAGATGACTGGCTGATTCGAAAAGCAGAGTCAATTTCATGGCGCTGGCTAGGCACGCGCATCCACACGCTGTCTTATCTACCAACAGTGCAACCACCCCACGCGGAAAACCACACACTGCCTAGTGCCTACCTTCAAGCACCAAGTGCATGGCATGGCTCACAAGACTTTTGCTTGGACACTTGAACTTAGTTCTGTGCTTACCTTAGAGCTACCGAGCACCTAAACCAACTGTAAGCAGATAATGCTAGCCCAGAACAACACTTTTTCGATGTTTCACTATAAGCATAAACGCCACACGTTTATCAAATACGATACTCCCAGGCACAATAAACTGTTAGTGAACAAAACGTAACGGCGCATCCGTTTATAAAATATGGAATTATTACATAAATACACTGGCACGGGATTTTCGTATCGATAGCCGGACGTGTCTTTTATGAACAGGTGCAACTGAGCATACGCAGCGATGCCGCAATATTAGATAAAAAACGTTTTAATTTCGTTTAATTTTGACACCATCAAAAAAAAAAAAAAAAAAAAAAAAACAAAACAGCATCGATAGAACTTATCGCTGACGGCACGCCCGGGCCGGACAGGCCCTGTTCGGACCTACCTCGGTCGCCGGGGAAGCCATCACACCGTTCTTGCCTGTGACCTCCGCAGAGACCGCAGGGCCCACTTCGCCGGCCGCCGCATGTGTGGTTTGTGAGCCCACACCTTCACCGGACTCTCTCCCCATCATGTCTCATGTGTGATCAGTGATCAGTCCCGGTCCGTTCGCCGGTCAGGGAGGGACGTAGTGACACCTCAGGAGCCGCGCCGCGTCCGGAACTGGTGCGCCAAACTGCGAGCCGCCGGCAGCAGCAGCTCGCGCCGCGTCAGGCCGCAGGTCACCTCGTGCCAGGCAGACGGCGCCACCTGTCGGTCAGAGAGCACAGTCAGTCGCTCGGTAGGGGCTTCGCATCCCCACATCCATTTTCTTACATAAATATACGTAGGACACTCGTGATACTCAGGCTAACACTTGTGGCCGACCGGAAATGATATAATAATTGAGCTGAACGTAGGTGTCGCTCAGTGCACGGTGGTGGCCAGACACTCTGAAGCCGCTCCCTGCTGGATCCCCCCGCAACATGTAAGCTGCTTACCGCGCTGATGCTTAAACCGAAGTCCCTGAGGTCTGACTGACCTGCAGTATCTCAGGGTAACTGACCCGCAGTATCTCATGGTTACTGACCTGTAGTATCTCAGGGTTATTGACCTGCAGTATCTCAGGATTACTGACCTGCAGTATATCATGGTTACTGACCTGCAGTGTCTCAGGGGCTACTGACCTGCAGTATCTCAGGGGCTACTGACCTGCAGTATCTCAGGGGCTACTGACCTGCAGTATCTCAGGGGCTACTGACCTGCAGTATCTCATGGTTACTGACCTGCAGTATCTCAGGGTTACTGACCTGCAGTATCTCAGGGTTACTGACCCGCAGTATTTCATGGTTACTGACCTGCAGTGTCTCGGAGGCCACCTGTCCCACGGTGAGCTGCAGGCCCGCCCAGCGCTGCGGGTGGTCGGGCGGCGTCGAGCCCTCCATGCGCTGCACCCACGCCTCCGGCACCTCGGTGGGCTGGGTGAAGACGCTCAGCGCGCTGCCGGCCGGCTCGTCCAGCAGCAGCAGCGTCATGTCGAACCACCTGGGTGAGTAGCAGGGCGGCGGGACGTCAGCGTAACGCACAGCACGTCAGCGGAGCCAAGGACAGCGCGTCAATGACGGACGGACAGACACTTCCAACAAAGGCAGACGGATACATGTTAGGTCCACTGAACTTGACACGCTAAATCCGCCGCACAGTATCGGCACAAGCATCATTGTTAAAAAAGTCCGTCTCATTTTGTTTGTTCGGTCTCATATCCCTTACAAAATATGACCTGTCGCTTCAGACACCAATGGCAAAGTGCCCTCACAATACTCCCAATCGTCTTCATCTGATTCGTCTCCCTCCCTCAGTCCCTCCGATCCTTTCCCTCAATCGTCACCTCTCCGGCTGCAGCTGGACGATGAAGCCCTCGGCAGCCACGATGGCCTGCTGGGCCGGCACCAGGCCTGAACTGCGCAGGGACTGCACGCGAGCCTCAGCGGCTGCGCGTGCCCCCTGCCAGCCCACCGGCTGAGGCACCAGACAGGGGCCCGGAGCAGGCACACCCCTGTGGGAAGGAAAGAGGTTAGTGAGCAGCTGTTACTCACCGGTGGTCGGTGTAACAACTACCAGTTCCGTAATGCGTCGCATAATCACAAGATAATTTGCAATCTAGTCCTCATATTATAATCCAACAGATTAAAGCAAAATACTGTAATCGTAAATTAATACCGTCAGGTGCTAACTGCGTAAAATCAATAGATCTCCCACCGACCCCTCCCACCAGTACCCGTCCCCCGTGTGTTTCGCCTCCGACTCACTGGACGGTGGCCTTCCCGAAGACGAGCTGGAAGGCCTCTCTGACGGCGGACACCTTGACCTCTTTGTCGGAGGCCACCACGATGTCCAGGTCACCGCCCGAGTCTGCAGGACACATACATGACGATTAGAGATCACACGGACACTAACTACTAAGCCATACAAATAATCGCATTGCGCCGTGGAAGGCAGTTAACCCTCGCCCGTAAACGGCGATCTGCCACCTTCGCCCATGCAGGGGGGGGGGGGGGTTGGTGCGACCCCCCCCTTGGCGTTTGAAAACGGAGCGTCGTAGAGCTTAGCGGAAAAGACCAACGGATTGCTCTCGCCGAGATCTCGCGATTGGTGGTATATTTTTTGGTCCTAGGTCAACATTTGACCTACTTTTGACCGGTCAAAGGTCAAATTTTCGGAAAAATAGACTTTTTCAACTTTCCGCGGCGATTGCGGCAAAACGGTGAGAGATATCGACTTGAAACCTTCACTATCGTGTTCCTTGATCAATTCTCTATCGTTTGGTATGTATTTCGTTTCCCTAGCTCTAAAAATGGCGCGTTGGGAGCGCCGGAAGTCGGCAAGGTCACAGTCGGCGGCAGAAATTCGAAAAATCAAAATTTAAATTTTTGAAATCTGATTGTATTTTTGGATTTGGAAGGTCCATTTGCTCCCTATAGAAGCTAATATTGCTGCATATTCCCATTGAGGTGACAAGAATTAGCAAAATAGTGGTTCGGGCGCTTTTCAAAAATAGTACCGGACGCTGTTCCTCTTGTGACGTCATAGCTCCGTGACCTGACCTGACCCGGTCAAGTTTCTAATACCATATGATAGCCAATACTTGCCCCAACATGCATGGGAAGTTTCATCACGATCCATCAACCGATGTTCGTACCATCGGCAGGAAACCTCGGGCGTTGGCACTCAGTTTGTGAAAATCCGGCCGGAGGCTGTTCCCTTTGTGACGTCATAACTCCGTGACCTGACATGACCCGGTCAAATTTCTTTTTATCAAAAGATGCGCAAGGTTTGCCCCATAAGGTACCCAAAAATTTGGCGGCGCTGCGCGCCGCCGTTTTTGCACTATTTCCGAAAAACCTCAGGGGGGGGGGGTTGCACCAACCCCCCCCCCCTACATGGGCGAGGGTTAATACAGCAAGGCCATGTGGCATGCTCAGAGCACCGACATTTCACACATTAGAATACCACGGATGTTTAGGGTGAAAAGCACTGAGTACTCACTGAAAACGAGATTAGGAGTTATATAGATATTCTCTAAAGGACCATACGATACAGTAAAATGTCATGTTAGTTAATGCTGCCAAAACCATAAGCAAAACTAATGTTTGTAAACATTTATATAGTGTCAGTTGATCGAAGCACAAGAAAGGGTTATCCGGTTTTCAGGCTACGTATTGGGTTGAAACATTGTCATAGAGACATAGCAGAGCAAACGTGGACCGACTGGATACCCGTGTGCCCCAGAGTGAGCCAGCGTCAGCTTTATGGCGGTGAATCAGCTGCTCGGGAAGAGATATGACGTTACCTGTCATAACTGGATGATCGGGTTTTTGAGCAAACGATACTCAACCGTTCGCAAACTGATTGCAAAATAGGAGCAATGAACAAAACATCAAGACAGAACTTTGAATGACTGCTAGTGCTGGTTTACTTGTACGTTGATTGGAGGGCAACAAATCTGTCGTCCGTCATTAAATGTATCGGTGCGTGCTGCGTTTTGCGTTGATCTTGGCACAGGCCATTGACATAAGCCCTCTTCTAATTAGAAGAAAAATCAACATGGTTACCCTAGCAGCTGACTCTTCTCCAAAGCATAGAGACGTAAATGGAAAGGGTCGCCCGGACGTAACAAAGACACAGACCCACCACCACAGACACCACCACCACCACACTGTTATAGCCCGACACACACTGCCCAGCCCAGGCGAAGATGCGCAACGAACAAAGGATAGCGATGAAAGACCCAGCGCCCCTGCTACCATCCCCACCGGCCTCAACAGCAC